CCCGCGTCGCGCTTTCGCGTCTGGTGGGGACCCTTGGGGATGATCTTGTTGGCCTATGACGTGCCTTGGTGGCCGCCAAGGCCATGATGGATGTTTTTGTTTGATAGGAAACCTCCGAAAATAGATAGAAACATCGTAATTTTACGATCACTATATATAAATAATATATTAGACTATATACATCACTTTTTTAGATTCGGATTTTACTTTTCTATTTCTTATAGTTACTATAGATATTCGGATGTGGTGTAGCCTTTGACAATGTGGTCTGACTTCGCCTTGACATGTTCATTCCATTGACAATTGACGTTAAGTATCCTTAAATGATTGTTGTTGTTGTTGTTGGCAGGTTTGAAGTTCAATCATATTAATATGATATTTTCATAGGAGTCCTGGAAATATCTTATTTCAGAAACATCATCTAACATCTAATATATATATATGATATGATATGATTGATATATATATATATGATTATATATGATATATTATATATAGGAGTCCTATAAATCTATAAAGACCACAATTCATAGTAACATCGAGGAACAAAAACTCATCACTCATCATATTCCAAGCCACGAGTCGTCAGACGAGTCGTCAGGTGATCACCATCCCCCTACGCTTCTTTGGTTTGGAGGAATCCTTGGCTATGACTGTGATCTCCTGGATCGCCAGGCCGGGGTAATTTTTGGGGCTTTGGGCCTAGTGCTGAAGATCCATGGGATTTTTTGTTGTGAACATATCGAAACATGACGGGTGCCAAGTATGAAAATTGATACTAGATATGTATACTGACTAATCTGACTATTGATACTGCATTTTTTGATACTACCCTCTGCTAAATAAACATAGACCCTGAAAATAACCATTTTTTTAATGGAAACTAATCTTCCAACCCCTATCTGGCAGGGTCTATGTTAATTTACTGGAGGGTAATATGTATACTTGGGTGTATAGATGTCATATGAGTATTGTAACTATAGTAACTTTGTTGGTTGTACCGTGGTTTTATTGGGATGTAAGAAGATAATCACGGATCATGTCAGTAAAGCAAGGTCATAAACCACCCATATGGGTTGATGATGTTGATGGCTGACGCAAACCATAAACACCCCTGGGGTAAACCTTTACATAGATATGAAACAAAAAAAATGTTTCCCGAACTCAGAAAATTGTTTGATTTTCCACATGCCAAAGTTTACCTCAGGGTAGTTCAAATATCCTATATCATATACCTGAATATGGATCCTTCTGAGGAAGTATCTAGATCCAGATTTGGAGGTTACTCTAGGGAAAACTAGCATAGATGTGACATAGATGTCGAAAAAACGCTTTTTAGAGTAGGTCACTTTCCGTACGGGAAACCGTAGGTAAAAAAACAGACCCATGCATGTTTACCCACTATATATATATACTATCTATTACAGTTCAGCAAGTAGTGACAACGCACTGGTGATAATAGATAGTAAATGCTGTATTCATCTGAACTTGATCGAATTAAGCACTTCGTTAGAGTGGAGGAACATCGTCTCTAGAAAGAAACAAACTCGTTTGCAGGGTATCCATTGTCAGGAGGCAACGGTGAATAGGCTTGTGACTCTTGTATCGACTATAGACTCTTCATCATAAATTTGGGTTTGCGAATTCTAAAACAAGGAGAAAACAGGTCAGACTGTGTAACCAGCGCGATTCAAAACAAAACAATTCTGGATTCCTTCCGTGTACTGTATATCTAGGAGTGATTCTGTCCTGCCTTAACGCCACATTCGAGTCGACTTTGAGCCATACCTTCGTGTGCTAAAACATGCCAATCAAACATTCCTTGTTTCTAGATTTTTCCTGCGAAACATGAAATACAAGTACCCCCACAAAGCATTGTTTCGATTACCCTCTGTGTACACCCATGGTTCTCTTGCTGGTTTTACCTTAATCTCTATCAACGGAGATATAGTAATCTAGACATGTTTCCTGGTTGGTGGTTTGGAACATGAATTCTATTTTTCCATTCAGTTGGGAATCATCATCCCAACTGACTCTAACTCCATCATTTTTCAGAGGAGTAGGTATACCACCAAGCAGTTTCTTTTTCCTCAGCATATTGACCCATAGTTTTCATTCAAATCCCAATCAATCCTCATGAATTCACCATTGATCCACCAGCTCGATGCCCAGGCTCTACTGGAGCCTGGACATTCTGTTCTCCTTCACCACGGGTTTCTATGATGCGGGCTTGTTGGTGCTGGATCTCCGGCGAACGAGTATGAACTATTTGAAACTGGGCACCAATGGGCACCAATTTCGCGTAGTGATGCGGACGGACAAACATGGGTATGGGTCAATACCTATTGATACCATTTTTAGTGGGATGAACATCCATTTACCAGCTATTTTGATGTTCACCAGGGGTACAAGGTTTTGACACACTGCCACATGTGGATGTTCACAGTTCTTTCTTTTTGATACCCTCTGGTAAATGTTTTACATAGCGAACTGGAAAGATCCACCATTTTTAATGGGTAAATCCACTCTTTCTATGGCCATGTTCAATAGCGATGTTAGTTTACCAGAGGGTAGGGACTGAATGCGGAAGATGTGGATGTGGATGTTGATGTTTTTGAAGTAGGGGCCTGAAATGACTTGACATGAACCAACTAATTACACTGGTGGTACAATGGGGATATATCTGGACAAATGGGTGATGTTGCAGCCTTGCCCCATAGTTAGCTAAGTTGGTTTAGTTCATTAAGTCCTGGCTTTTTGATGATTTGTTACAAGCGTGGGTTTCTAATTGAAATATACTGAAATTCTCTGTAAATGCTGGGTTTTCCAATGTTTTTACCTATCCCATATGCTCCATGTATAGTATATTTACATTACCTACATGACTGGGTCATTTATGGGGTAAATGTTGGTGTGCATATTCCAGCACCATGGAGCGGGACTGTATACAAAGTGGATCTAAATATATCTGAATCGTACATTTATAGATGGATTTTCCATGGATTTTCCATGACATAAACCAACCATAACCAACCTATGTCAATCTATGTCATGCCGCGCGCTTCAAACGGCAGATTTTGTGACGTGGCCCCAGCAGACGATGATATGATCGGAATGTGGAGATCGGATGTGCAAAAAGCCAGAGTCCGTGGCAATTTAAATGTTTAAAATTTCTTAAACGGAATTTGAAATGGTACCATTAGTATCATTAATAGAATCTGAAATGGTATGAAATGGTATCATTTACCATTTTGTTACTAAAAAACATTGACTATTGAATAATCTTTTTTGTTATGGGGATGTCAAAAGATGTCAATGAAAGACGGAGAAGCAATTGGTCATAATTGGTGAAACATAGTCAAACATGTTCAGTCATGTGAACATCAATGAAAGAAGATAAACAAGGAAAGACATGGCACAACTAACTTGAATTACCCTCTGGTAAACATACAAAAATCTATGGAACATCACCATTTTTTAATAGGTAAATCAACTATTTTGACTGGGCCATTTTCAATAGCACACTGTAACAAATTACCAGAGGGTATATCCATTTCCATCCATTTCCATCCCATGAACTATGGAAAGATCCACCATGCTATCAATGGTTAAATCCACTATAAATCACCATTTGTTAGTTTACCAGAGGGTAGATCCCATTAAGTGGATGAAACAATCTCATTATATGCCATTAAATCACCATTAAAAACCCATTAAATTGTTATTTTTTGCCATTAAATCACCGTTAAAACACCGTGTTTTGCTGAAAAGTCGTCAGCCTCGTGTCCCTCTCGCGATGTCAAAAGCGTCCAGGAAGGGATGGTTCGTCTTTGATCTCTTGGTGGTTTGTTTGGACTGGGCACCTCGCCGTGATCCGCAAAAAAAACACGGGGAAGATGGTAAAGAACGTTTTTTTTGGGTGGGAAGTGACTAGATAATATAATACTACATAGTATACAGATATATATATATATACATAATATGTATATATATATATATTATATAATTATATATATATTATATAATTATATATATATGATATGATATATGCTATTAATTCACAAATTCACGTACAAGAAAATCCATGGATTCGATATATCTGTATCAATACATTGAGAGGTCAGGATTGACACCTCACAACATATGGTGCCATCAGCTATCAGGCTCCACGGGGTCCACAGTTTCGAAAAATCATTCCGGTTCCGGGCCAATTCTCTGTCTCCGCTATGTTCGTCCACTTTGTATACAGTCCCATATGCTCCATGTACCGAATATTTACATGATATTTACCAACATTTGCCCGAACAAAAGAATTAAAAAGCACCCAGTTTTGTAGGTAAACATGCCAGCACCATGGGTGCATATGGGAGTATGTAGATGTTGTTTTCCATTTCCACCGCGGTTTCTGTTCTGCCAAGCACCGAGGTTCTGTTAATCTGGGAGGATTTCATCTGGGAGGATTTCAATTCCAACACGGAAGGTCTGCCCAGGTTGTCCAAGACCATGAGAATTACCAGGCACCGGGCACCGTGTACCATGCGATGGCAAGCCATGTAGAAAATGGAGATCCTTCGGAGGCAAACTTGGAGTGTAAACATCTGGTTATTTAACATAGTCATGGTATAGATGGCCCATTTATAGAGGAAGCCATGGCCCATAGAAATAGATGGTTTACCGAACTTAAAAATGGTGATTTTCCATGGCTATGTTAAATAACCAGATGGTAAACATCAACCTCCTCCAAAAAAAACGGCCTGATGGCATAATCTCCAAAGATCAGTCACAAAGGCAGAGAATGGATGAAAATGGAACGTTGTAACCTTTGCTGGACGAGGGAATCTTCCAGACGGATAGTTGTAATTCCAATGCCAGTGATATTCATCATTATCATCATCCTCATCCTCATCCTCATCCTCCTCCTAATCTTCCTCCTGATCCTCATCCTCATCCTCCTCCTCCTCGGCGGCGTCGTCGTCGTCGCCATCGTCATTGTCACATTCTCCGGCCATGGTCTTCTGCTGGGTTGGGCCCGTTGGGCCGACGACAATTTGGGGCAGTCGGGCAGTCCTGCTGTATGAGGTTCTTGGAAGGGGATCTTGTAGGGATCCTGTGGAGATCCTCGAAGGTTCTTGATTTTGTAGAAGTCCTTGCGAGGAGATCTTGTCGATATCCTAGTGAAATCCTTTGTTGTAGAGGTGTTTGGTGGATATCCTAGTGAAATCCTTTGTTGTAGAGGTGTTTGTGAGGAGATCTTGCGCACATCCTGCTGGAATCCTCTAAAAGATTTTTGCGCGAAGATCTAGAAGGTGCTTGTATGAAAGTTTGCAAGGGAAGCCTTCAAGAGGTTCTTGTACAAAGATCTTGTCAGATCCCCTCTATCAGGTCCTTCTTTGACGACTGTGTGAAATTCTCATTGAGGTCCTGGCTTGAGGTCCTGGAGTTTTTGTTCACAGATGTTTTCCTCAACGCTGTTAGGGCCTTTTTGCCGGGGATGATTGTCTCTATTTTGTGGCCGCTGTCTAGGAAAGAATCGCAGAATCTGCAAACGGCACCGCTTGACAAATCATACCCCGAGTGGATCCGAAGGATTTTGTTTCACCGGTTGGTAGTCAACAGCTGGTGCCGAACTAATCAACATCTGGTGGAATAATATCTGTAACCAAATGAAGAACAGAAAGCATGTGCATTAGTTTTATTTAGCCATGGATGACTGAAGCAGGAAAGCGACGAAAATTGGAAACATGATCCCAATGGCGTGCTGGGACCATACATTTTTTTCATCTACAACCAGATGTAATTAGGTATAAGATATACATAAAGAACAATCACTCAATAAATAAATATTTATGTGTGTATACGCATTAGAAAGATACAAGATTCATACATTTATGTATATATACATATGTTGAAATAGGGCTAATGCCTGGGTTTAGCCTGGCAGGGCAACGACGATGGGCAACAAAGCGTCATCATCATCATCATCATCCTCCTCCCTTGTTGATCTTTCCAGTCGAAAGCAAAGGCAAATGAGAGTGGGATTTTTATATTCCTAATACCTGTGGTGATCTTCCCACTTGAATCTAAAAGTTCAAGCAGGGTGGGCAATTATGTTTCTAAGGGCGCTTTTATTCCAAATACCTATCGGTTATCTTCCTAATTGAATATAAAACTCACAGGCGGGGAACTTATATGCCAAATAATTACCCTTGTTGATTTGCCTGCTTGAATGTAAAGTTGAACAGAGATGTGATTCTATATTCCGAATACCTTTGTTGATTTTCCCCATTGAATATTAAGTTAGGCGGGGTGAGAATCTATATTCCCAGTACCGTTGTTGATCTTCCCACTTGAATGTAAAGTGTAACGCCAGCACCAGAAGGGATGATGGGTTCATTCAGCGCCACGGCCTCTCGAGCCCGTCGAGCCCATTGAGCCCGTTGGGCCCGTTGGGCCCGTCGGGCCCGTGTAGCCCGTGAAGCAGGCCCGTTGGGGCCCGTTGGAGCCCGAACCTAGGAAAGGACTATTCTCCATTCTTCATCATACCATTGCTCTCATTATTCATATGTAGCTAAATGAAACAAATGCATACTGTAACAGTAATGAATCATATATGAATATCAGTTTATTATGACCGCAAATATAGCCATCATCATCGACAATAAATTATTACACGTTAAATATTGACCATAAGTTAAAAAAGAAAAACAATTGGTTTGTGTATTTCATCTTCGGCAATATCATGTAATATCTACCAATGAAAGATGAACATATCATATTTCATGTATATGCTACTATATACTATTTATATATATATTTATTAATTTATTTATACATATTGATGATCAACAACCATAAACAAGAAAAAACAACGTATAAAACAACGGAAACATCTGTAGCACATCCGCAGTGCACCTTGGCAGGCTGTTTCGATTAGTGCGCTCGGGGCGCCTATTGAAGGTGGGTGCTATCACCGAGAACTTCCAGGCCCGATCATTTTCCCAAAAAGAAACCATTGGTGGAAGACCACATGGCAATTTACCCCAGTGTAATGTATATATATACATATATATATATACATAATTATATTTAAAATTATTCATTACAATATATATATATATATATGTAAAAATAAGATGTGTATATTTATACATACTTTGTATATATATATATATATATATATATTTATGCATACTTTGTATATATATATATGTATAATTATATATAATATTATAATATGTCGATGAAATGATTTCTATTTGTTTTTTGAGGCTTATAATTTTCTTAGGGAAATGGTACCATTTCAGTGCTGATCAGTGCTGTGTACGTTTTCCGTGCTGTGCAGTAGGCTAATGCCCCCAAACGCTGTCTTTGTTGTTTAAAACCCGATCTAGCATAGTTATTTCATCATAAACCATCAGCCCAACAGTCAATCTAATTAATGTCAACCTTGGATTAATAAACCCCAAACGGCTGTTTCATTGGAAGGGTACCATTTAAGTATTAGATTATAACTACTATTGGAGGAGTACCACCCCAATTAATAAACCATGGTTTTAATTAATCCGGGGTTGACATTACATAAAGCAACTTAGACACACCACTGGACCTTCTACCACCTTGCAGGGATTTTTGGCCGTTGTGATTCCGAGCCCCATCTCTGAAAGGGGTGGATTTCATTGGGGTCCTCAGAACCGAACGAAGCTTCTCCCCGAAATTTCAGGTATTGAAACGGGCTAAACATCAGTTGAAAATTCGACAATTTGCTGATAAAATGGATTGATATCCGATATCCTGAACATACATGACTGGTTGGTGGTTTGGACCATGAATTTTATTTTTACATATTTAGGGAATTTCATCATCCCAACTGACTTTCACTCCATGATTTTTAAGAGGGGTTGGTGGCTCAACCACCAACCAGTGAAAATACATAATGTCTGAAGAAGTACTCATCCTAAAAAGAAGACAAAAAACTGTATCCAGCTACCGAAATTCTGAAAATGGCCAGGAACAGATCAGTTCTGAATCCGTGCCCTGGCCGAGCGGGGAATCTGCGGGATTTTTCAGACTGATTCTAGGCCCTTGAAATCCATGAAATCCATGAAGTTATGGATTCCAGATTCTAGTCCCTGATGGCTAATCTATATAATGTATTATAATATATTATAATTTAGCTTTTTTTAAAGCCTCGTAAACAATGGTTTTATAGCTCCAAGAGACGCGGTGAACTTAGGGGGTACGAGTGGCTAACGGACGTGGTGACGAACGTAAGGCGAACGAGTGAACGGACGAGTGCACGTGTGAGCGAACGAGTGAACGGACGTGTGCGTACAAGTGGACGGACGTGTGCGCGTACGTGCGTGCGTTTGCACGTTCACTAGCCGCGCGCGTACGCACGTACGAAAATAAGGTCGACTGGAGTCGACCTTAATCGACCTTATTTCTGCACGTGCGAAGTGCTACAATACTAAATCAATACTAAAATGGTAAAGAAAGGCAGGGTCGTGCAAAAATAAGGTCGACTTGCGTACGTGCGCGCGCGCGTGGCGAGTGACCGTGCAAACGCACGGACGTACGCTCACACTTTCGCTCGCACGTACGCTCACTCGTACATACATACGTTCGCACGTACGTTCACTCGCACGCATGTCGTTCACACACACGTTCATACCCCCGTTCATGTCACTCGTCACTACTAGTCTACAGTGAGGTGCCTCCCTAGTTATAAATGCAACTGAGATGCTCTATTTAAATCATCCCTAAGCGGTGTTCAAAAATAAAATCATAGGGCTTGAGACTGAAATATTTTTGGATTTATTTCTCAAAAGGTGCCTATCATAAGTTTTGAGCAAGTCAGACCCCTATGATTTTATTTTTGGGACATGGGCCAAGACCAAGAACCAACCCCAATGCAGCTGGTGAAGTAGCTTTAGGTTGGGTCCGTTTGGTTTTATTTTTGCGTTTTGCTTACCTTTTTGTTTTGTTGGAACATGTTGGAACACACCTCTTGTGTTGGAATTGGTGGGCAAGACATGATGAAAACAATGGCTATCATGCTTCAGATTTTGTGCATCTTGCGTAGATTCTTCCAGCAGATAGCACCCCTGGAATTGAAGCATCCCAAACAGAAAAGGAAAACCATCGAAAATATCACATCTCACCAAATACAACAAGTGGGGGTTATTCAGTGCACCAAACATACCAAACATGAATACCAGTTTTGTCCAACCCTGGAATTGTACTCAGTAATGTAAAGCTTTGCGCCCCTGGAATTTATTTCTGGAACCTCTTGATTTTATTTTTGCAAACCCCTCAGTTGGATGACTGATGATTTTCTCTTTGCGCAACATGTGGGGTTGAACTCCCTTGATTTCCTTTTTGCATTTTGGGGGTCAGTAGCCTGGGTGCCCTTGATTTCATTTTATTTTTCAGGGGTTCAACCCCATCTGGGTGCACCACAAGGGGGTCTTAAATCTTAGTTGCCGAACTTTTCCGCGCCTTGACTTGCATGAATTTGTAAGTAACTTGCAAGTTTTGCAAGTTCGAAAGCTGAAAACATATTTTTTTTTCATACTTTTCTTGTTTTGCCGAGCGAAATTTTCTATTTTTTGCGACATGGGTTCCAGTGAGAAACATCTGCACAATGAGTGTCTGAGAAGCGCCATATGCTTTTTGTTTTGGGAGATCACGCGGACAACACGCAGTGAACCCCTGCGAAGCATCAGCACAGCGGATCCTTCAAAGAGCCACCACGTTGGCAACTCAAGTCTGACCTGTTGGAGGCACGCTGCCTCTTTCATACCAGTCCTGACAAATTTTCTTTTCCAAAAACCGAGATCAAGGTTATACCAAGATATACCAGGATATACCTGGTTAATGTTGGCTGCCTAATAATAAATACCCCCCCCCTAATTTTATTTTTTTAAAAAATTTTTTAGGGGGGGTCAACCTTCCTATAATAATCTTTCTGGATGGATTTGAAAAGGATTTGCTTTGCTTTGCTTTTAAATTTAATTCTGAAAACAAAACAAGGGGAACACAAATTGGAATTCATTATTGCCATGCCGGGGGCAGGTCTATTATTGCACGCCTGGGGCTTGCAAAGGGGGTACCCTTTGTGGACCTGTTTTCTTCAATTTTTGAATAAGAGTTTAATAAGGAAATCGCCTGTTTTGGAATGGGATCATTTTTTCTGGAATCTAGGCTTTTGCGAATCAAAAGGGAAAGCTGCTTTGAAAAGGATTTGCTTTACTTGACTCTTTCGGCAATACTAAAAGTAAATAGAGCTAATTGACTTTTAGTATTGGAGAAGAATTGGAGTTGGGAAAAAAGTTTCCACTATTGCCATGTTGGGTCCATTATTGGCCATGCCCTCTGGACAAGGTCTGAACATGACTATTTTGGCAATACTAAAAGTAAATAGAGCTAATTGACTTTTAGTATTGGAGATAAAACTGGAGTTGCGGAAAAATGTTTCTACTATTGACAAGATATCACTATTGGCTGGACAACATTATACCGTTTTAAGTTTGGTATAACTTTGGTATTTCTTGAATTTCTTTGATATAACTAAAAAAGGGTTTCGCGGAAATACCACGAAATACCATAGAAATACCAGAGTTATACCAAAACATTTTCGGCATAACTCTGTATAGCTTGGTATAACTAGATACCTGTCTCAGTAAACAGAACGCTGCCCGTGTAACTTGGTCCAACATCAAGTTCGTGTCGGCATCACTTGGCGGAGCTGGTGCCGGAGAAGCCATGTGAAAAAACGCCAGACGGCTGTGCTTTGAAACCAAACACCTCGCGGACAACCGCAGGCAAATCGAAACGATCATTTCCCACATCATGCCACTGATTCAAGCACTTCTTCAGAATCAAACACATGCAAAAACCTTGTATATCCATGTCGCAAAAAACTCTGGCTAAAAAAACATTTTTTTGCACGCGGACCTCAAAAAAACATTGAAAATCAACTAAAAAAATAAGTTCGCTAAGTTCGGTCACGCTAATTTTGCTAACCTAGTTGCATCTGGAGTATTCAAGATACAAATTTACTAGCATAGATGCAAGTTCAGCACGAACTTGCTGCATATAGCCAAAATGAACTAAATTACAAATATAGTTACCCCTGCTTGCAAATTAAGTTATGCCTGCTTGCAAATTCTCCAACTAGGGGGGCACCTCTTTGTACACGTACGCTAGATAACAAACATATTTTTACGAGACTTTAAAAAAAACTAAATTATAATGTTATCCATTTTCATATATGAAATCCGGATTTGGATTAAAACCATTTTTTTTGGACTTCCAATCTGGGATAGATGACCATATATATATAATTATATATATATATTAATATGCCTGACCAGGGTGTCAGGGTGACCATGCTTTCCATGCTTTGACTATGACAGACTTGGTTCTTCACTGTCAGAAACCGTGTGAGTGACGGTTAGTGAACTCACTAAACTCTAGTTGTAACCGGACGAGATGCAGCCCCTACTGGGGCCCCTACCAGTTAGTAACTAGGCTGGGTTGAACCACCAGTGGATTTCAAGTTTAAGAGAACATGAGAAACCACTAAGGTTTCAGGCCTTTTTGGGATACCGGCCTTACCAATGTTATCTAACATACATACACATGTATGTTATCCATATTTAGTAGTGACATTGCTAACATAACATGGATACCGGCCTAAAATCAGGATGGCAATCACCGAACCGGACCGTTTAGGCCTCTATCCATTACAGCATCGTGCGAATCATCTTGTGGCTCATGGTCATGAACCATGTGCTCGCCTGTGGCTGGAACCTTGGCTGATTGTGACTCTTTCTGAGGAGATTGTGGTGATGGAACACTCAAGAAACCGTGAAGAAACCGTTGAGTTTGATCATATGTTTTGCATAATCACACGTATGAAAAAAATGGTACATGTGAGAGCGTATGTCTGCATGATCTCATGGAGTGACCTCACACAAACAAAATGATGGTCGGGAATATCATCCCCCAGTTCCAAGTGCCATGTGCAGCTTGGGGACTTCAGTGACTCATAAATCACCTAGACAAGATTCTAGAGATAAAATGCTATATTGATTTAAGGGTTCAAACATGTTTTAGCTATGTTGAACTCATAGCCATCATAACCATCATAATCATATCTTCAACAACATTATCAACAACAACAGCAACAGCAATAGCAACAACATGTTTCTCCATTTGGTGTTCAAGTTTTTAAAAAAACACATGTCATAGTTCCATCTCTTTGCAAAGTAACATAGCTGTTGAAAATGGCCCTAGAAATAGTTGATTTACCTATTAAAAAAAGATGGTTTTCCATATTATGTTAGTTTACCGCAGGGTAGATCACAGGTTCAAAATCCCATGAATACCATAGTTATACCATAAACATACCCGTGAAAACCATAGAATTCAACCAGGTGGCCATATCTCCAGCGTCGTGGCGCCGCCGTAGCTCTATAGCTCCAGGTTCGGAGTGGCTGCGTTCTCAGACGGACGCACCTGGATTACTGTGAATCAGCTGGAGAGTGAATCGGTGGCCTATCAATATGCGCCTTGGGCGAACTGGGGGCCCCTGCAAAAACAGCCAGCAGATTTCTGGCGAAGACATGGGCAATATTAGTACATACAGTATATATATATATAATACGATTTATAATACGATATACATGAACTATATATGCACTATATATGCACTATGTGAGTATTTGTCAGAAAAAAACGGGAAAGTGTATGAACAGATGGTAGAGCAAGGTTTTTCAAGGGAGCTGATACCACCAATGGAGGTTTCGAATCCACCAGAAATGATGCAGACAAGTTGGGGAAACATCATCCACCACAACGATCATGTCAACCCCGGATTAATTAAAACCATGGTTTATTAATTAGGGGGTACCCTCCAAATAGTCACAATATGGTGCATAAATGATACCCTTCCAATTAAACAGCCTAGAGGTTTATTCATCCAGGGTTGACATTATAGGTGTTACGCACAAAATGGATGGGTTTTTGGTAAATGTGTTGTTGGCTCTGGCAAATACCCAAATCCCCCTTAAAATATCTTAAAATCATATTTGAAACCGCATGATCAGCGTTGTCCCTATTTCCCTTTTGACTTCGCTGTTAAAATGCAATAAAATCTAAAAGTGTTAAAATTGCCTCATTTGGGTTGATTTGAACATTCACGGGCACTAGACTAAAATGCCATAGATCAGGGCCAACTCCACCACAAATACTTCTATTTTTTTGACTTTCAATTCCCCAATCTTCCCCATGTTCTCATCATCATCTATAATCTATATGTTTTACTTAAAACAGCAGAGATTAATCATAATAAAACATAATAACCATAGTTTCACCCGTGATTTCCATTTATTTTCTATTAATCATTGGTTTTACTGATGAATTTCTCAGGATTTCCCCTTTTTCTACGGCATCTTGGGAGATATTTTGCTGTTGACTCGGCAGATCGCGCGCTTCTGAGACCACCTCCTTACACTGGGCCGTGGCGCAGCTGGGGGTGGGGCAGACGGAGATCGAAGCCGTGTCCCTGCCGGAGCGCATCTTTTCGATCCTGGCGGCTTGGCGATGGAGAGCTTGATGACTTGATGACCTGTCAAATGTTTGTCTTTGAATAGATCTTATAATAGATATATAATATTATATATATATAATATTATATATATATATAATTATATATAGATATATACAATACATAGATATTATATATATATATATACCCATAGGATCCATGGTGCTGGTATATATGCTAACATAAAGGGGATATATTGATGGGATCCATGTTACCATTTATAGCAGCACCATGGATCCTATGGGATACAATACATAGATATTATATATATATATATATTATACCGTTAAAAACAAAGTTAGAATGCGGTTTTGGCTTCGCGTGATGGTGGCCCGTTTGACCCCCCCCCGCCAGTCGCATTCTAACTGAAGGATCGCGAAGGATCGCCTGTAAATATGCAGCCACACAGTTAGAATGCGGCAGAAAAATTGGTGAGAAAATGTATGTTTTGACTGGTATGTTACAGGCGAAATGGAGTTAGAATGCGGTGGTTGAAAAACACACCAATAGCCCATGTCGCACAGTTCTTGCTGGCATATGCGCGGAAAGCCTCAGTTAGAATGCCTGCCGTTCATGGTTTGTATTCTATTGGCAAGTGGGAACACGAGTTTTATACAAACGTATTAAATACATTAATTATCAGTCGAACCTTCAGACTGCGTATGTGTATATATATATATATGTTATTATATGTGTGTATATTTTTATGATTATATATACCTACTCAGACTTGATCATGTTGTTGTTGCATCTGTTCATGGTTTAAATGGATTGGTGCTCTATATATATTTACTGGGATCCAGAGAGTGTGCCAGCGAGATGAAGATGGTGTAGATGACCTGTTTGCGTTTACACAATATTAATGGTGTTTACCAATATGGTTATCAATATGATTAACCATAATGGATTAATATGATGTTTATAAATATGGTTTATATATATATATATATGTATGATTAATATGATTAATATATTAATATGGTGTTTAACAATATGTCTACAAACACATGTGAGCAGTGTTCAAAACCCTGGTTGGTTGATGATTAGTTCGGGGATTCTACTACCCAATATATTGGGGATAATATAAATTAATCCAAAAGGGGAATCCCTATAAATCATCCAGTACAATGGAATGATGGAGGGATTTTGAACACTGCTCATGTGATAAAATGTGATTGAATCATCAAATTCGGGTTGCTGGGTGGATCAAGGGATTGATTCAAGGATCAAAGTAATGGATCTAACATGATTTTAACATCAAAATCAATATATACATATATATATATATTCATACATGTATATTTTACTGTAGATAAACTATTGTATTTAATTTATGCTGATAAATTAGTGCACACGTAAGCATATATGACATCTAAGCATCAAAATTTATGGGATTTCAGCAACAAGAAGGGGAGCACAACCATGGGAAACTATGGTATTACGCTTGGGGATTGTAATGTGCAACTGATGTTTTACCCTCTGATGATTTATCATAGCAATGGGAGACATTGGCCCATAGCAATAGATGATTTATGACGACTTACCTTTCTGAACCATGGAATAACATGGTGATTTTCCATAGCCAATAGCTATGTTAAATAAGTCTCTGGCAGAAGCACGTGGTCCCAGTATCTTTCCACTAGAAAGGTATCCCAGGCTTATACATCATTTTGCAGTTCATGGTCACGGATGGTCAGCCGAAAACCGACTGACGTCGAGGGCTTTCAAAACTTTTTGGTCGCAATTGGGATTCATCAGCTAAGCTGGCAATGGAGAAATCCAACACATATCTATTTCAAGATCATGTGGGTCCAATTTACATTCATCCTTTCAGGGGTACATAGATATCGATGGTTGTGCTATACAAACTTTATTTGAACATGTTGGGGACCACATTCCATTGCATGAAAGACCATTTTGCTCCTTTCCCAAAACATGTACATACACACATACATAAATATATATATATATATATATGGAGGTTTCCCAAAATAGGGCTACCCCAGTTCTCATCCATTTATAAATGGATATTCCATGAAATAAACAATCCAGCTATTGGGGTACCCCCCCATTTATGGAAACCCAATATATATATATATGTTGTTTGTGGGTGTGTATGCCTACTATTTTGTTTGTTGATAAGTTTGCGGGTAAACCCAAGTAAATGCATTTGTTTTTGGACAACCCCAAAATTTCATAGTGTTGATCATATATATATGTATGTATGTATGTATGTATGTATATATATATACATACATCCCTATTGTTTCCCAATGTGGTTGCGTATGTATCCCCTAGTGTTTTATAATGAATAACTCGTAAATATTCTTGATAATTCCACGATTTGTTAGCCATTTCAAATAAACCATAGAAGAACTTTTTAAAGGGAACATCTACAGGAAACCATAGATTTTACCGGTAGATATGGGTTTTCCTGTAAAATTTCCCTTAACCCAATCTATTGAATCTCATAACCCAATCCCATAATGTCAACCCTGGATTAATAAACCCCGTTTACGGCTGTTTAATTGGGAGGGTACCATTTAAGTATCAAATAATGACTATTGGAGGAGTACCCCCCCCCAATTAATAAACCATGGTTTTAATTAATCCGGGGTTGACATTATTTATTTATATATATATAACATGATGATGTTAAGTAACAAATTACCAGAGGATCTAGACCACCCCCCCAAACAATGGACAACTGGTTACTGCTTCGTGACATTAAACCAACCATTTTCTGGGTGCCAAGGTGATGTTCGCAGCCCTGCTGAGTTTTTCCACCCTCGTGACGACCTTAGCTATTTGCCAACTCTCCCAGGGAAGAGCCAGGCGAGTGAAAGATGACCCTTTGGTTATGACTAACATAGCCATGGAAAATCATCAATTTAATAGGTACATCATCTATAAATGGGCCATTTTCCATAGCTATGTTCAATAACCAGAGGGTACAATGAATTATTATATATATATATTATACATATATATATATATATTTGTTGTTGGTACTAGAGAAAAATGTGCTATCATTGAATCATTGATGATTATTTGATTCGGATATGAGAAAACATGAGCGGGTGACAGAGCCACTGTTTTCTATTCTGTGTTATTTCATATTTGCAAATGTTTGCCTTTCAACTTTCAACCGCTCTCGTGCTTGCTGCTCGTATCTCTTGGACGGATTGCTTTTCATCGACAATGTGGGCTGGTCTGGAAAATAGTCTACTATCTACACTATCTACCAAAAATGCTCATCAATTTTCATGGTGCATCCGTATCAATTGATTGAATCTAAGAAGGCCTGTGGGAGCCCTCACAGGCACACCCCTGTAAACCACCACAAATGAAAAAATCAAAAAACAAAAAAAAAAACATTAAAACAATAAAACAATATAAAACAATACAAAACAATAAATCTAAAACAATATCAATAAAATACATTTAATAATATAATGTTTTTATAAAATATCTTGGATTTTTCCAAGATATTTTTGTTCATACAAGAAATGCATTGGTGAACATACATATGTTTGCTGGATCTTTGGGTCATCTGTAGCTAGTTGGGAGTACCAGATCAAAAATGGCCATAGCTTGGAAGTACAGAATCATGGCACAAGTGCGGACATATTCAGGACACATACAAGGAGAAAGATGTATCCACCAGGGCAGGGCAAAACAAAACTAATACCAACTTGATTGCGCACAGCGCCAGTTGATGCTGACATGACCAGTGCTTGGTTGTGCCCAAGAGTTGCCGGCAGCTGTTTGGCTTAATCTTTTGTGTTGTCAGCATGGGCAATGGCGGAGTTGAGTCTGGATGATGTTTTAAACATCATCGAAGATACACATCCCAACGAAGAGACATGTTCAGAGCCGAGGCCAAGTATATAGAGCTACTGTGCGGCAGAGGTTTGTGGCAGGTCTTCGACCGGGTTTGCTAAGACACGCCAAACAGAAGCGAACCAGAAAGTAAAGGTTGAAGAAAAAACAAAGCTTGGTGGACCAACAGGCAAATGAATACAATGCCAGTGGCCGTGCTAGAGGGGCCGACCATGCGTTTCCAGCTTCAGCAAATGACTTTGAGCGAAAAACAGAGAAAGGCAAAGGTAAATGGAACCGGTGGACCGCGCCCGCTGTTTTGCGTGCTGGATTCAGCTCAGAGTCAGCAACTTCCAGACAAATCGCCAGCAGCATTGAAGGAGGTGGGCCAAAGCATGCTGGAAGGTGTCGGTTTGTCACTGCCTCAACCATCTTGGAAGCGCAAAATCATGGGATGGCTTTAGTTCAGCAAACTGGGTCCCAGGGTAGCCTTGATTTTTGGATTCGGAGCCTCATGTTTGATGAGTCTACGTTTTCATTGAGCCTTCAGCACGAAGCGGCAACTGCCACCTCGGTCTTGTGTTCACATGGGCATTGGACCTATGGCTTTACTCCTTGCTATTATAATTGTTTGTTTTTTTCACATCAAACGTCCAGGAGCACGGGGATGCAGAGGAGGTCTCGGACCCTGTGCCCTTGACAGAAGCGAAGAACTCGTTCACCGCTTGCCCACCTGGAGGTTGCACTGGGCATCTTTCTCGTGAACAGCTGGCCTTGCACAGCAAGTTGCATGCAGACTTGTGCGTTCTGGTGAAAAAACATGATCCTCCTCGCAATAGGCCTGCGGCCGACCCTTTGGTCATCATGTGGGAATCTGCAAGTCTGGCAAAGACTGTGTCCGTGCTGCTTGCCTTCCGGACCATGGACTCTCCAATGGACATGTTGTTCCTGCGCTTGGGCCCCAATGTTGGTTTGATAGAGGAGCCTCCTTTCAGTTTGCGTGTGCAATATTATGCAGATCGCTTGGATGCAGCGCCTCTGCACGACAATGATTTGGCCATTTGTGCTCAGCTTGCCCTCGAGGCGGGTGATTGGGTCATCCACCGCTTGGAGCTTGCAGGCATTGATGATGATCCGTCAGAGTTTCGCATTGCCCGCAAAATTTCTCATGACGCAGAGCACTTGCAAGAGGAAGCCCGCCAACAGAAGGAAAACGACTTGGCCATGCGGGCTTTCCGCTTGATGGAACGACTCAAAAGTGGTCAAAAAAGACAAAGGCGGCCCCGGGGCCCTCAGCCCAGCACAAAGAAAGCGCGACAAACTGCCATGCCTTGCGATGAGCAAGGAGAACTTTCGCCTTCCCGTTTGTCTGAGGAGAGCTGGTCTGAAGACAGTGAATGGGCTGGCAGTGCCGGTGAAGAGGATGCCCCTTGATTTGAATCTGGGCGCAGAGAAACTTGACATTTGCGGCTCAGACTCTGCCGCTGACGTTTCGGCCGTTGGTCGAGGCTTGCCAAGTTCCGAGCTTGGTTTCAAGGGAAGCTCCACGGAGTCGTCTGCAGGCATTGCTGTTGACGCGGCCTCTGGCCGGGCTGTCCAGTCCGCGAAGTCGAAGAGAGTGGTACAAAAGCGAGGGGTTCGTTGCAACGGGACCCTTCTTGCTGTCGCCCATTGTGCCGCAAGGAGGACAAACCGGGTGGGGAGCCATTTGCGGCTTGCACCACAACAGAGGAGATGGAAGTGGCTCGAGGTGCAAGAAAGCTTTGAGCATGGGCCGGTTGAGCCACAGCGCTTTCATATTACGATTGAAACGGTGGCTTCTAATAGCCGGGCTCAATGATGCAGAGCTTTCTGTCCAGAACGCTCGGTCAGATCATGTGGCCATGGGAGGACCTGGCTTACAAGCTTTTGCCGAAGAAGGCCCCTCAGAAGAAGAGATGGACGAGAAAATCCGACAATATACTGCCTCAAGTCTTTGAGTCCTTTGAAGTGACTTTCCGCTTTATAGTTTCTGACGTTGTTTAAGTTTTGCTTGTGGTTGTGACCTGGCTTTCGAAATATATTCGCGATAGATCTTTGGTAGCGAGCGGTGGCAGTATGTTCAAGTACGATGGACCATTGAGATCTACATTCATATCACCCAGGTTTCTTTCCAATCCTTGACCTCTTCGACAGTACAGACACAGCGTCTTCTTCTTATCCTTTTGCAGCAATCAAACAAGTAGTGGTGATCAGGTTGGTTTGGATTTTGGTTTGCGGGGAGGTTTTGCCAAAGGCAACCCAAAGTAGTATCATTATCAGATATTTTGATATTTTATTGTTTTTCTAAAAACAATTTAAATTTTCAAAACGATTAAGAAAAACAAAGAATTTTTCATTTTTGAAAACCATACACTTATCTTCCGTTTTCATTCACTTATCTCCTGTTTTCATACACTTAACTTGTGGTTAAGTGCGAGATTCCGGTTTTTCAAAAAAGTTTGAAAATTCAAAAAAAAATATATCAAAAAAGATGAAAATAGCTTTCGCCAAAAAAAATGTAGATTTACAATTCTGTTCCAGCCTGCTCCGAGGTGATTGGATTGGTTTTAGCCCATTGCCAGAGCTGACTAGAGACAGAGCAGACAAGTTTCACCTGAACACTGCGCGACAGGCACTCTCGTGCAGCAAAACCTTGCAGTTGTCAGCTGCTGCTTGAAGTTAGCAGTTCGAACTTGGTTCTGTGCAGGGGAAGCCTGAAGCTCCTGAGTTGCCACCTGGTTGTCTCGACTCCTTAGGCTTGTCTGCCAGAGGTCGTCCTTCCTGCTTAGGCTCAAGCTGTGTGAGTTGTAGTTGTTTTCCTTTCGCTTTTGCAACCCAAAGGGTTGGCAGGTCCGTGCCGAATGGCCAGTCTTCCAGGGTCAGACTTTGGAGGTCTGTCTGAAGGCGGTTTTGATGACAAGGGTTCAGAGGCATCTGGACCGGTAGCAGAGCAGATCAGTTTTGATCTGAGCAAGCCTTGTACCTGCGCTTTGTGCCAGAAGACCAGTGTCTCAGAAAGCCCCCTGACAAGCAGCCACCTGCATGACAAGCATGGCAGCCGTAGGCCATGGAGTTCCTACAGGAAAGTCTTTGACAAGGCCTCTGGTGTCACGTACCGGGTTCCCCAGTCCAAGTTGTGTAGTTTGTGCCGGAATGTCTGGAAGCTCTTAGGCTTTTCCCACAAGTACGGAAACATAGCCAAATATGTGAAGATGATCGCAGAGAAGAGAGTTGACCATGCCGTTTTCCTGGCCAGTCTGGACGAATGGATCAAGAAGCACAATGCAAACCCAAACAAGCACAGGCTCCGCAATGCAGATGATAAGGACTCTGTCCGGGACGCAAAAGAGAAACTGCTGACCAAGGACGAGCACGGCTGCGAGTTTGAAGCCCCTGCTAGCCATGCTGCTGCCAGTCCATGTTTGTTCGTGGACATTTGTGAATTGGGAGGCGATGTGGCGGATTGCGCCGCGCATGGGCAGAAGTGTCCGGTGCCACAAGTAGACCTCCTGGTTTTAGGGACATCTTGCAAAGATATGAGCCGAGCAAAACCCTGCCAGCACAAGGATTCCGCAGTGCTGTCTCAGCAGGTCAGTCGGGGAGGCTCCGCACAGACATTCCAAGGAATGCTGTCCTGTTTGCAGAGCAAATGCCCACCCTTAGTGCTCTTCGAGAATGTAGACGCCATGGACGACAGCAAGGGCACGGACATGAACAACATGGACATCTTTTTGGCCGAGACTTCCGCCCGGGGGTATGAGAGTCAGGTCTGCATGACAGATGCAGCCGAGTTTGGATGTAGCGCCCGCCGGAGGAGAATTTATGTTCTTCTAGTCCGAACAGCCGTGAACCCGCTTCTGGACTTTACTACCAGGCCTTTGACAGCTGCTTTTGCCACCTTCCGGGCTTTGCTGCTTGGTTGCCTTCGAGGCGGGCCTTGTGTGACCCAGATCCTTTTCCAGGAAAGTTCGGAACCAGTTCAACTGGAACTCGGGTTGCGCTTAGACAAGCGGGCGAAACAAAGGGAGAAGGACGCTGAGAAGAAACAAGGAGCACCCGCTCCCCCTCAGAGTTGGGTCGAGCAGCACATGCAATTTGCCCAAAATCACCGGGTGCGTTGGGGGCAAGCTGTCCCAGCAAAATTGGCCGCCAATCAGTGGTACCAGACTCCAGACTTTGGGTGACCGTGAGCAAGACGCTTTGTCTTTGCTGCAGCAATGCACCCCGTACATTGTGTTCCGAGATTTGTCTCAGTCAATCGTGCGAGGAATTTCGAACACCTGGAGACAAGATTCCAGCAAGCATGTCATGAGCACAGTGCTTCCAAGGATGGTTCTTTGGTGTGAGGCACAGAATCGCCTAGTCCTTGGGCGAGAGGCTTTGCTCATGCAAGGCTTTCCAGTCCAACCTTTCTTGCAAATTTTGGCAGCGCGCATGGAGACCATGCCTTTGGCGCAGCAATGGCATCCTTCTGAAGCGCTCATGATGGACCTGGCAGGCAACGCCATGGCATTGCCAGTAGTCCTTGCTATGGTACAATGTGCGCTGGCTGCTTTAAATTGGAAAGATCGGACTCTATCCGGGCAAAGCAGCAGTTCAGTTGGCTTTGTCACAGACCGAGGACTCGTGTTGGAATGTTTGTTGACTGTTGACTGTTGATAGCGTGGCCAATGCGGTCTTGATATTCCTTCTCTTCCTCCTTTGTTTTCTCGCCTCCTTGCTTTTAAGACTTAGATTTTGTGAGCCGTGAGTTTGGCGTCCCTCGTTCGTGTATTTAAGTGGGTTCATGGCAATTATATAGGTGGTGGCTGTTTTTGTGCCCATACATTGTGCAGGAGATGGCCCTTGCCCTTGGGGCGATGGAAGCTTTGGATTCAACTGCTCCCATGGAAAGCAAGCCTCAGGCCGAGATCGCGATGAGTGCTCTGGATGAGCGAATCTACAAGAGAGCTAGAAAAGGCAAGTAGAGACGCTTTCAAAGCGGGCAGTTTGATGATGAGCGGCAAGGTCTTCAAAGCAGCCGGTAGTTCTTTTTTCAAATCATGTAGCAGCCAGAGCAAGGACTCTTTGCGCATGGCTCTGCTGAGGAAAAAAACTAAAACTGTCAGCCTTTGCCTTTGCAGCTGTGTTGGGACAGGATGATATAAGCAAAATTCCAACTGCAGCGAAACTTAATTCAACAAAAATTGGCAGAAAAGCACAAAAAATATCAAACATTTTCCAAAAAATGTTTCTGTTTTTTTTTAAGCTTCATTTTTTTCTATTTATTTGGTTATTTTTTTTCATATTTTTTGTTTTTGTGAGTTCATTGTTTGTATACTCCTTTACTGAAAAGATCACAGCCCTTCTAAACCCAACCAACGTATCAATCCAAAAACATGTCCATGAGTCCCTGGGGAGTTTTTCCCTTTAAAAACAGACAAACCCGGGAAGAGCACCAGACTTAGATGGGCGCCAAGGGTGAGTTATGCCAGCTAATATGTGGATGATATAACATGATACAATCCAATTGCATGTTATTTCTTTTTCGGGACAGTTTTGCGGGAAAATCTAGAGACACCATCGTGTTTTTACACCCAAATACTGGGTTTCCTTGCTGTTTTGCCCTTAAACATCCTTAAGCCAATTCTGCAAATATCTGATATCATCTGATATCCCTTGTATTTCCCATATATTTCCCATAAATTCATATTTCGCATCATTTTCCCATGGGATTTCCCCATGTTTAGCCAACAAAAAAACCCAACTTTGTGTTGTCGTCGAGTCGTCAATCAGGTGAGTTCGATGACGTCCCTGATGGCGCGACTCGATCAGCTCAAAACTGAGGAGGTGCACCTCAATGGAAGAAAACATGTTTCGGATTGTGAGGAAAAATACATGTTTTTCGGATGGTTTATACCTGGAAAATCCTGGAAAATCCATGATAGAACAGTGGTTTGAGGATAATGAAGGCTATACCTGGAAACATATCGAAAAATAACTTGGTGGTTGGAATAACCTGGATTTGTGTTACTTGTCGATGATGTTGACTTTCCCAATGGGAAATGCACTAGGGGGAGATGGGTGGGGGGTTCCTGAAGCAAACCCAAGAGCGTTTTCCGAAAACAATTTAGCCAGTTCTTTTCAAGCATGTTCTCACCATGTTTGTATTGTCAAATCAATTTGAAGAATTAATTCACGGCACCAATTTTTTGTGGGTTGTTTTCTTTCGGCCTCCAGAAGCAGCCTGAGAGGTGAATCGGTGAAACAGCTTCCAATCATTGGATTTCTATGTTACTCTCAGAAAAAAAAACTGCTAACCAGAAGCGATCCATTGATTATCATGTATTCCTGGTTGCTGCACAATTTCTTGGGTACTATTGAAATAAATTTCTATTCAATATTGCTAGGTTGTCATTTCGGATATTTTTTATTTTTGTGCATTTTGTGCCTTCCTGCCGTTTCTCGCCTGCTTCTCAAGTGACACGTCCTTGTCATCGTCCTGCTCCACCCTTAGCCGCGGCCTCAAAACCCTTCAGCCAGCGTTTTTAAAGTAATTAGGTACCCAAAGGTTCATAGCATGTCTTGAAGGGTCCCAGCTGTCCCATCATTCAAGCCATTATGAGGCCCGAACTTGCCTTCTTCGCATCATCTTTCTCATTGACCTCGGAGAGGCGAGCCTCTGTGGGAGGGATGCGTGGCAAGATGACTTGGGGTTGGATTGGCATGGGTGACTTAGCAAGCATGGCTGACAAGCTTTTTCCTCGAGCATCAATTCCAATCATTTCATTTTGTAAGATCTAGCTGTTCAAGCTGTTCCAGCTGTCCTCGCTGCTTGCTGCATGGACGTCGCTGAAGCACTTGCTGAAGCACTGGAACTGATGGAGCAAGCAGATGCCCCTCAAGGTCCAGCGGATGGTGCTCCTATTATTGAGCCTGAGTCTGAAGAAGGGGAGAGGCAGGAGGCTGAGCCAGTGGATCCACCTGTCCCAGCTGTCCCAGCTGTCCCAGCTGTCCCAGCTGACCTGGTGCCAGCTGCTGCAGTTACTGAGCAGCAGCAGCGCACGATGAGGATTCAGATAGCTGAAGCTGTGAGGGCGTCGCTCAGTGGCAGATTTGGGCTTCGCATGGAGGGCCTGATTCTAGCCCAAGATGAAATACAGAGGCATCAGTGGCTGTCCAGCACGCGCCCCGGATATTTTTAGACACGTACAACACTCAGCAAGATTTTTCGTGGGCCATGTTTGGGTTCAACACGCTGACCATGTCCTTCTATGAGGGCGGCATCAAGACCTTGGACTCCCAGATGAAGATTTGCTTCAGTGTCTTGGCTGAGTTGTGTATTCATTCAACTTTTCCGAATTTTATTTTGTGCTGGGTCCTGGGTTTGTGCCATGCCATGGCAGCCATGCTCAAGACGATGGTCCCAGTGAAGCATGCATGGAGCACTCACATGAACTCATTCAATCATGATGAAGTTCCAGCTCTGCAGGCCTGCTTTTGCAGCCTTCAGAATGTGGCATTGTGGAGCAAGCCCGGGACTTGCTTGCGAAGCTGCCTGCGCGCCATGCAATCCCAAATCGCTTTGTGGTTGCAACTCGGCTGTGCTGAGATAGCAGTAGGTAGTCAGAGTAGAAGAAGTAGTAGGAGTAGTTGCCTGTTGGATGCTGCAATGAGGTGGGTGTTTCCGACATTTGACAAGTTGAGACATATCACTGGTCACCATGTTTAATTTTTGATAATTTTTGATCACGTGGTCCATCTTCCACAGCCTTGCTGAGTTGTCTGCGATTGTGCGCGAGCTGCTTGAGCAGTTTACGGACGTCACCGCGCACGGTGGAGAATCCCTTTGCAATGTGATTCTCTTCCCCTACCAGATGAACGGTGCTGCCAGGGGCTACACGCTGCTCGAACCGGCTCAGGACCAAACCAGAAAAATGGGTTGGAACATGTTGAAGGTTTTCCATGTTTGGAGTAGTTGGAAATGTGTTTTCAGTCATGTCTGGTCCCTGCAGTCCGTGGAGTGGGCTGGCTGGGCTTTGCCAATGGGGCGCGATGGTGCGCTCATGCCCTTGGCTTTGTATGCCCAGGATGTGTTGAAAATGGCTGCATCTTTTCTGGAACTTGCTGGGTTGGGGCAGCCCCGAGCTGCCGTTCGCAGGTTGGATTCCATTGCAGGTGTAAGACCTGTCCAGTCATTGGAGGAGCGGAACAGATCGATCCTGGAGGCAAGCTTCTTTCAAGGCGCCTTTGAAGAGAAGCGAGAAGCTCATGCTGCTTCGGGCACACGGTATGCCATCACCACCAACCAGTTCTTGCGCAACGTTGACTTCGCATTGGTGGAGAAGCTGGATGTAGGCTTCGGACAGTTTCTGGATTTCGGAGAAGAACCTGGCCAGTCTGCGCAATCCTTTTGGGTCAGCGCAGAGGGGTTTTTCTACGTCTTGTCCTTCAAGCCGGTGGCAGTCTCGCAGAAATCATTTGTCACGCCAATCTGGATGCTGCAGGCAACTTGGGCTGGTTTTTTGAATAATGTGTCAGATGATGTGGCGCAGGCGATGCAGGCTTTGAGGTGATTTTTTTCATATTTTTTCAGGGCCAAGGCATGGCATCTTTTGAAGATCAGTTCCCTTTTTACTACTAAGCTTTGTATAATTATATACGTTTATACATCAAGTAGCAATAATATATACATGCACAATAATTACTATATACTGCACATACAGTATATACAATATATCATACTTAATACATACCAGTATTATATATATATATATATTTATTTATTATTTACACATATACACATATACACATATACATATATATATATAAGCACATATATATGCATACACATAGATATATATATATACACATGTATACATATATATATACACATGTATACATGTATATATACATATACATATACATATATTCATATATCCATAAATATATATGTATATATATAGGTGTATACATATATACATATATATAGGTACATATATACATATTTTTTTATTTAGACATGTGTACATATACATTTACATATACATGTATTTATATATGTTTATATGTTTTACATGTATACATATTATACATATACATATATATAATTATACATATATATATATACATCTATATACATATTATACATATACATATATATATATACATATTTAAATACACACACATATATATATATATACATATGTATATATGCGTATATAGACATGTTAGAGCAGGCAAGTCGTTGACTGCAGGCAGAATGCTTCAAGGGCGACTTCGACGATGAGAGTTGGATCTACCGCGCTGGATCCCGAGCCGATGTGAGCATTCTCTTCAACGGGGTGGGCCCTGATGATTTCACACTCGTGTGGGATGGAATGACAGTCGCTTCTGGGCTTCAAATTGGGGCTTTGATGCGCTCACTAAAAGGTTTGGGGTGAGCGCATCCTTTTTTTATTTGTTTGGTCTGTTTGGGTTTAGGTTTGGTGCATTTGCATGATGACTTTCATGTCTTCCGGGTATATGTTGAACGTGGGGCTTGGTGCTAGTGTTGGCCGCCAGAGTCAGTTTCACGATGGCTCCACATCACTGCTCAGGAGCGAGCCATTGTGGCCAAAAAGACGAGCTCTTCAGTTGTGCTGGCAATGCGCTTGGTGCGGCAGGCAGATGCCCAAGGTCGGCCATGGGATGTCACTTTGGCAAGATGCAGCCAGGTGCCCGATTCATTGAGGCGCAGCATCTACCAGCCCAACGTGCAAGCCGACAAATATTGCAGGCAGACATACAAGAACACTGGCAACTGGGAGTTGGCCAAGTTCGCGCACCAGACGCGCCAAGTTTTTGAAGCCGTCCCGCAGAACGCGCCCAAGAGGAAGGGTGGTGGCAAATTCAGTGGTGGTGGGCGTGATGATCCTTGGGCCGAGGAAGGCGGCCACCAGTCTTGGGGTGCGTACAATGCTGGGCCAGGCACTTATGGATGGGGGATGCCCCTTCCTCACCCGGCAGCTGGCTTCCCACCGCCGCCTCCACCCCAGCCATCCCAGCCATCCCAGCCATCCCAGCCGTCCCAGCCGTCCCAGTTTCAGCCGTCTGGGTCATCGCAGGGAGCCTGGTGGCAGTGAGGTGGCAGAGTGTGCTTGCCTGTGGCACGAATGCTGGTGCCATTTTGATTCCTAGGAGTCCAGCTGTCCCAGCAACCCAGCTGTTCTAGCAGCTGCAGTTTTTGCCATAGGTATCTTCCACTGCGGAAAGGATTGCAGTCCTGCGCAGCAAAAAAAATGTGGGTGTGAGGGCACACTGTGTTGAGACGATTTAGTGGCTTTCAAGTTCATTGCCAGAGTCATGCGGTGCCATTGAATCATTGCAGATAGATGCCCAATCAGTGATACACCATCCGTGCCAGGCGTGCTTGTGTGACTGACTTCTGTCCTGGAGGCATGGGTGGAGTTTGGCTCTTGAGATCAATGATGTTGACAAGAAATGGATGTTGACATGTTGGGCCTTCGTTCATTACCAACTTGGTTCAACTCATGTGGGCATGCAATCATTCATCATCAATGATGTTCCTGTATGGCCAAAGCTGTTGTCCAGGTGCTCCTGGGCTGGCGTCTCTTTTCTGTGCTTCGACTGCAGCTGCCAGGCTTAGGTGGGCTGTTGGGTGGTTTTTTGCAAGATATTCGCTAGTCTGGACTTTGCAGTGAGATGATAAATTTCGCAAGGGTACTTTGAGTTTGGCGCTGTACTTCGAAATTGTGATTACCATGTTTAGCCATTGTTCCGATGCAGGTGTTGCTCCAGCTCCGTCCGCTACCAGCAGAGTGGTCAGGCGCATGTGTGCCAGAGGTGTTTAGTCTTGCCACTACCTACTGGTTTAATTTAGCCTTGACAGTTTTCTTACATGATGGCTTTGCAGACTGACTTCATCATTTGGAGCCGTTGAAGATTGGCTGTGTGCCGCAATTGCCAGGCCAGTGCGTTTGCTGCAGTCCTTTCTGTGCTCCATACCGAACAATTTCTCAGGCTTCGGGTTGGTTATGATGTGGCAAGATGTGTCATACCCTGCCATCATGCATGCAGCTTGGGGTTGGCCTGTTGAAGGAAAGTGCTGAGTTTTGATTTTTCATGATTGCTGCATGGCCAGGTTCTTGCTGACCAAGCTGTCCAAGCCGTCCAAGCCGTTTCAGCTCCAAGCGATTGCAGAGGCCTGCTCAGAGTGGACAGGGAGGTGCAGGCTTTGAAAGTTGTTTTGGGCTTTTGCTTTTAGCAGCAAAGCCAAAGCTGTATGGGCCATGTTTGCTTCCATGCAATAAGCAAGGATTTGTTTCTACAAGCCTTCAATCTGACTCTGATCATTGTCCCTCATGTCATCTAGTCCATCGTTTGCTTTTAAAACATTTCAATAGCAATCGGTCGGAAGCAGCTCGATTCTGTCATGTGCCCAATGGTTGTTCGAAGTGGCCCTGGAAGGTTCACAGCGACCTTGGGAGTTGCCTTCGAATTCAAGGTGCTCATGGGATCCCTCAGTTTTGGGAAGACCTGACCGGCGTTGGCCGATGGACTTTTGACAGTGTGAGACACGGGTGTGGGAGTTGCATTTGCCATGGTTCAAGCGCCGGCAAATGGGCTGGAGCACATGGCAACCATGTAACAAGGCTATCTTATTAATTATACAACAAGTAAAAGCATGGAATGACCAAAGTTTGTTTGAAAAGACCGCAGTTGGACAGCGAAATATTTCATGTTGTTGTAGGATTGCATGCCGAGCTTGGCGTCGCGATGGGGTCTGAAAACACCTACCAGTTTGAAACCACCTGTGAAGCGTAAGCAGTGTGCAAAGCCTGGACAGCGTGTGCAAGCCCGTTCTAACCAGCTTGCCAACCGTTGGGGGTTGCCACAGCCGTCCCAGCCGTCCCAGCCGCCAGCTTCATCCAGCAGCAGGCCCAAGCCGTCCCAGCCACGCAAACGTCAGTGTCAGGCAGCCTTGGAGGTGGGAGACTTGGAGGCGACAGTTGGGTTGGCCGACGAGTCAGAGGCTCACCATGTGGCAAGACATTCTCAGCCGAGTGCCAAGCGTCGTTGTGCGCGCTGCAGGTTGCTGTGTTGATTTTTGCGTTTAATTTCTTTTCTTTTCATGTGAGACTGTGAGACCCCGAGTTTTCATGTGGGGCTTTGAGTGAAGAGGGGATTTTCCCATATTTGGGTGGGTTGGTTTGTGTGGTTTCTTCATAATTTCATTTGATTATTTACCAGTAGTACCGCACAAGGCGGTGGCGGAAGTTTCAAAAATAGGAAACCTATAGGAGAGATTGGTTGTTGTGAATCAGGGATGGCAGAGCGAAGCCACTGATGGACTGAAAGGCGATTGATCTCTCTCACTCTTGTCGACCTGTCTATCTATCTATCTATCTGTCTGTCTGTCTGTCTATCTGTCTAACTGTCTATCTTTGGTGCAGTGTCATTCAGTGTCATGTAGTGCAGTGTAATGTAGTGTAATGTAGTGTAGTGTAGCGAAGTGTAGTGGAATGTAGAGTAGTGTAGTGTAATGTAGTGTAGTGGAGTGTAGTGGAGTGTATTCGTGTAGTCGTAGGTGTAGTTTCTAGTGTAGTGGAGTGCAGTGTAGTGTAATGTAGTGAAGTGTAGTGGAAGGTAGTGTAGTGTAATGTACTGTAGTGGAGTGTAGTGTAGTGTAGTGTAATGTAGTGTAGTTTAGTGGAATTTAGTGTAGTGGAGTGTAGTTGTAGTTGTAGGTGTAGTGTAGTGGAGTGTAGTGTAGAGTAATGTCGTGAAGTGTAGTGGAAGGTAGTGTAGTGTAGTGTAATGTAGTGTAGTGTAGTGGAGTCTAGTGTAATGTAATGTAGTGTAGTGCAATGTAATTTAGTGTAGTGGAGTGTAGCTGCCTGTCTGTCTATCTATCTGTCTACCTGTCTATCTGTGGTGCAGCGTCATTCAGTGTAATGTAGTGTAGTGTAATGTAGTGTAGTGTAACGTAGTGAAGTGTAGTGTAATTTACTGTAGCGGGGTGTAGTGTAGTGTAATGTAGTGTAGTGGAATGTAGTTGTGCAGTTGTAGTTGTAGTGGGGTGTAGTGTAGTGTAATGTAGTGGAAGGTAGTGTAGTTGTAGTTGTAGTGTAATGTAGTGAACTGTAGTGGAAGGTAGTGTAGTGTAGTGTAATGTAGTGTAGTGGAGTGTAGTGTAGTGTAATGTAATTTAGTGTAGTGGAGTGTAGTGGAGTGTAGTGGAGTGTAGTTGTGTAGTTGTAGTTGTAGTGTTGTGGAGTGTAGTGTAGTGTAATGTAGCGTAGTGTAGTGTAATTTGTTGTAGTGGAGTGTAGTGGAGTGTAGTGGAGTGTAGTTGTGTAATGGAATGTAGTGTAGTGTAATGTAGTGTAGTGTAATGTAGTGTAGTTAAGGGAAGCGAAGGGAAGCACATCTGAACCTCCAAAAGTGGTCCGAAACCGTAGTGTTTTTAACATTTTGACTTGAAAATGTGCTTCGCGCCACAACGGCGTGCACTTTTTCGACATCTGAACGTCAAAAAGTGGTCCGAGACCGTCAGTTTTTAACACTTTTGACTTCGAAATGTGCTTCGCGCCACAACGGCGTGCACTTTTTCCACATCTCAACTTCCAAAAGTGGTCCGGAGCTGGTGTGTTTTGTACATTTTGACTTGCAAATGTGCTTCGCGCCACAACGGCGTGCACTTTTTCGACATCTCAACTTCCAAAAGTGGTCCGACATTGGTGTGTTTTGTACATTTTGACTTCGAAATGTGCTTCGCGCCACAACGGCGTGCACTTTTTCATCTCTCATCTGGCCAGCTGGCTCCGCACCCGCCGCTTTAGCAAGCCTACTTTTCGACCCTCCGGGGCCACACATCATTGGAAAAACACAGTGAATCGCGACTTTCCTACCTTTTCGCGCATCTGCATCTTCTTTCTTCTGACTCTTTCTCTTCTGATCTTCTTTCTTCTGATCTTTTCTCTTCTGACTCTTCTCACCTCTGCTTTTCAACTGTCCATATTGTCGGAAGTTTGACTTCTAAACTTCCTTCGGTTATAATATTCCTGACAGCATGTTTTTAATCACCTTCCACGTAATGCGCTGCGACAGTGTGGCTGAAGCTTTTTGTCGCCCTATTGTTTTGTTCATTTAGAAGATACCGTTGAGGGGGCAGAAGTCAAACGATTTTTCTTCAGTGAGGGGGCCGCTGATTGGGTCCTAGGTTGGCCCAATTTCAATTTTAGCAAACCTAAATTTTTAGTGAATATGTATATCTAGTTTCTTTACACGCGCCGGGCAAGGCCATGGCAGAAGTTGAAAAGCGCAAATGGCAGGGTGATTGGCTGATGCCCCAACTGGCTGTTGGAGCTCTGATGTTTGACTGCCTCGTTGACTAAGCTGCGCAAGTTTGCAAGCAAGTTTGTTCAAAATAATTAAAGGTTTTCTTTTCGTGTCACTATTTTCCTCACACCGTCTATCTCCTATTGTCTGTCTTGTTTACGTTCTGTTGACTAGTTTCTGACTAAATAGTGTCTACCCTGTAGCCAATTGACCCAACTGTTGACCTGTTCATCTCTCATCTTTCGGTCTGTCTTGCCATTTGGCCTCCCGTCCTGTCAAGGTGTCCTTCTGTTTGCTTAGATTGTTTTGTTTGTGCCTGATCTATTTACCCCCCTCACTGCATCCATGAAAACTAACCTCTGTAATAATATTACATCGCATCTACTCATTCAACCTTTCTGTTTGCTTGTTAAACGCTAGGCCATTGCAATTTCTACTAGCTTCACACTCGCTTCTATGTTTGTCCGCATGTCAATGAGGTTTCCAATCTAACCCTGTCGTCCGACCCAGTATACTGGCAGGACCTATGTTTGCACCTGCCTATCTGTCTGTTTGTCTGCTGCTGTATTTTTAGTTTCTCATCTTGGAACGCTTTTAGCCACACTTCAATCTACCTACCTATCGATCTGGCTGTCTGTCTGTCGGTTGGTCCCTGGGTTAGGTTGTGTCTCTTACTACCTGGACAACTAGAAAGGTTATGGCTTTCTTTGTTTTGTCTATCTTTGAACTGATTTTTCTGTATGAACTTATGCACTATACTTGTTATTCTGTCTATCTGTTGTGCGCTCCCTCTCTCTCTCATCTATTCCTATGTTCTACTTTTATATTTATTAATTATATGTTGTCTGTGCCCTTCCTCTCTGTGGCCTTTTCTCTCTTGAGGTGTCTACTATTTATTCACATCTCTGCGTCTACCCAGCTTCCGTTTTTCCATCATCTTTCTGTCTATCACTATCCGTTTGTTTTTCTATCCTTCTATTTCCACCTGTCCGTTTACCTACCTATTTATTATGTACCAATCAATTCATCTATCTATTTGTCTATCTTTGTGCCCCTTTAGTTAGCTCTGCCTGTAGGCTCTGAATCTGTCTCTCCATTCGAGAACGTGATCTTTATGTCACAATAATCAGTTTGGTCATCGGTCTTGGTTTGTTCCCTTGATTTGTGCTTAGTCCTGTTCTTCTTATATGTCCTCTTTCTTGCGGAGAATCGCTGCTAGGTGGCGATTTGCAAATTGATCGGCAGAAATGGCAGAAATTGTGATTTTTCTTGCTGTCTCAACTTCTGAAAGTGGCTCGATTTTGGCATTTCACACACTGTTGCCTTGCAAAGCTGCTGCCCGGCGCATTTTCTGGTTGCGCATGCCAGCGTGAGCTCTTTGAGCCAGCTGCTTTAGCAAGCTAACCTTCTTCATGCCCTCCCTCCCATGCGCCGAATAATGCGCAATAAACATGCTTCGTAAATGGTTGTATGCCATTTCTTGAGCCAATTATATTACTACAGCTTTTCACACAAGCTGTGGGAACTAAAGAGGGTAGAGTGCCAGGATGCCACTGTTTGTTTTGTGTTGCCAGCTAGAGGCTTACTGTCTGAAGCAGTTGAAGTTGAAGATCTCATATATTTTTTTAAGAATGGGTGGACATTGGAACCTTAGTCCTTACGCCCGGTTCCGTTGAATATGACCATCCCATGCCACTACTTGGCAACCATCTGTTTTTTCAGTTCTTTTCGCCAGGGTGCTTGGGGATCTTCCCAGCAGCCTCAGCTGTCCCAGCACCAGAGCCGAGGTTCGTGCGCTTCAAGCAGAAGTGGCAGAAACTTGGGAGTTTGTCGCATGCTGCGTGGGGCAAGCCTTGCCGCACAGTTTGGCTTTCTGAAAGACCAGCTCGGCGGGGCGGAGCGTGGGCGATTGGCTGCACATTTTGCGCTCATTTGGTGGATCATTTGGCGAAATTCCCAGAGGAGAGAAAGCGATTGTATTTGGGCCATGCCACTTCTGGTTTTTTGCAAGTTTTTTTTTTGCAGATATCTTTAAAGAGGGTTTGTAGATTTGATGCCAGTGCTCCTTCTCTTGCTCCATTGTTCCTTCACTTGCTTCGCGTTGCGTGCGTGCATGCGTAGTACGGAATAAACAGTTTAGCCATTTAGCCGACGTGCGAGTTTGCCGGGCCCCCACATGAAATGTGCAGTTCAAATCATTTGGTGCTGATCGGAGCCGAAGACCATGAGTGCTTCTGCCGCTGTGTTGTGCCAGACCGGAACGCGTTTTGCTAAGCTTTGAAGCTTTGCCAGACTCAAACACAACCACTTTGCTGCTCTGAAACTGCTTACTCACGCGGTGCGGCAATGATTTTTTTCCTTCCTTTGATGAGGTGCGCGTGCCCATGCTGGATGTAAAGTAGCAGAAGTGACATACTCAAGACAAGTGGCAATCATGTTGGTGACTCACCGTCACTACCTAAATAGAACCGCGTGGTGCACCACATATGCCAGCAGATTGCTAAGGCTGCAAAGGTTTGCCACAGGATGAGACACACCCCAGTGGCCGACCATCAATAAAAATATTGTTTGAGGTCTGGTAGGCTTTGGGTGAACAGTAGCCACTTCTAGGAAAGCGACCTTGATCCAAACTGGCCCTTTGGTTTTTTGTCTTTTATAGATTGTATTTATTTGCCCACACTCAATGCAATACATCATAAGTATGTCCAAGGCGCTAGATGGATACTATGTGCTTTTGCTTTTAATACTATGTCGACCACTCGCACACTGCTAAAGTGGCTCTGTCCTGTCATAGTCCTGCTCTACCCTTGGCTGCGCCTTCAACACCCTTCAATCACTTGGGTTGCCACATATGTGCTAACCAAGGGTCACAAGTATGCCTTGAAAGGTCCTGAGCCATCCCCAGCTGACCCAGCAGACTGTGAAAACACATGCGAAACAGACGCTGTGCTAGAGCCCTCAGATAGACCGAAAGCGGAAACATAGCGTAAAGCGCGAACGATATGTTTCTATCTAGTTTGTCATTGCAGGGATGGGAATCACACGATGCAAAGACACTGTGAAGATGTTGGGGGCCACCAAGCCTATTGTCGCGGGCATACTTCCAAGGCTTGGCAGTCGTTTGTCAACGAAGTGGGGGACATACTCGGTGAACTCTTTAAAGTGCATGCAGGCAGCTTGCATACGTCAACATGCAGATGGCACAGTGCACCGGGTGGCCCAAAGTCTTTTCTTGTCGCCAGACAAGGCAATCAGTGAGTTGCTGCCATATGATCTGCATAGTCAAGATCTCTTTCGCGGAAACGTACCCCAGGCAAGAGACTGGTTACGGGCTTGGAGTGCGTGCTTGAGCCCGATCGCATTCACCAATGCTGAGAAGCATTATGAGACAGAGGACTTTGCGTCCGGGCGGCGTTGCAGTGTTTCACGGCGAGGTTTCTCGACTCAAGATTTTTCATGTTGTTTTGGGGGGCGCCATGCCATTGTAGTCTGAATTTGGTTTTCCCCCTGCCCTTCAGGCTTGGGCCAGATGATTCAGGTCATGCACTGGGTGGTCCGGTCGCAGAGAAAGAAATTATTGCTGAACGCTCAGAGCGTGTCAGTTTCTGTGGATGACCGGGCCGACTTTCGCTTGGTTCGCTACAGGTGTAGCTATCGGTCCTGGGAAGATTTCACAATGGCAACAGCAGCCACAGCTGTTCCAGCCGTCCCAGCATTGTCTAAGTCTTCAACATTGGAGGAATGGTGTTCGATGCAGCCACTCATTGCAGAAGGTGTTCTTGGCGTTATCCGCTTGGGGCGGAATGTGCCAGACAACACTGTGGCACAGCATGACATGGACAAGAGTGAGAAGATGGCAGACAGTGTGATGGCAGCTTTGCGTGATGTATGTGCTGACGTCGATGGGAATGTGGATGAGGAGATGCTTCAGAGGCTTTGTTCCCGGCTCCAGCATTATGCGTCTGACCAAGGTACTTCTGCTGCGAAGTGTGGCCAGGTTCTAACCCAGCGGCCCGAGCTGCCCAATTTGGTTTGGCTGAGTGCGGACATGGCCCACCAAGTTCGCATTGCAAGCAAGGACCCATTGTCAGCGCAGGAAGGGTTCAAGCAACAGTGGGATAGACTTTTTGCTACCAAGCATGCATTGGTGCCTGACATCCAAAACTCAGAAGTCTGGCGATCTCGCTTGATAGCTGCGCAAAAGCAAGTGCTGAAATCCTGCCAGACTCAAGGCGCCGATGTGGACAAGGTGATGCAGACCTTTTCCTTTGCCAAGCAGCGCTTCGATTCAACTGCAACTCCAATGCTCAAGTACTGCTGCATGATCCGTGCAGTCGCTTTGGTGTGTGCGTTGCAAGCTGGTGACGACACTTGGCATGCTGGGCAGGTTTGAAGATGAAGTGTTTTTGGGCCGTTTCTTTTCAACCTTTTTCCTTTTTAGACATGTTGGACTCCTGGCTTGTGAGTGGGGATGCTGCAGGAACGTGGCTCCCGAGAAGTGCGCTTCAGAGCCCAAACAGCTTTGGAAGAGATGACTCCTGCAAACTTGTTTCGCTGTGGCATCACATGTGACTATGCGATGGAATGCTTAGCCTTCTTGCGGGAGTGCTTTGACGTGGATGATCCTGATCCTGCAACCACCCCATCTGCTGTTCAAGCCTTTTGTTCCCGCATGAAGATGTTGTTTTGTCAGGGCTACATCCTGGGGCAAACTTCTCCCAGACCAGCCGTCCCAGCAGACCAAGCAGACCTAGCAGCCGCTGTTGACCCTTCCCCTGCCAAGACTGTTTCCCAGATCGTGTTTGAGCAGGTGGATTTTCCTGAGCCGAGTCTTGGCTCACTGTTGAACGGGTGGCAAAGTTTTGTGGGAAAGTAAGTCAAAGTTTTGTGGAAAGAAAGTCTTTCAACAGTATGTCGGGTTGCGAAACCTGGGTTTGCTTGCTTCAAAAGCTCAGGATCTATTTTGGAAAAAAGGTGCATTACCTTTGCACCAGGGCGGGCGTGCAAGACATTCGGGCAATCATGTCTGAGATGGGAAATGTTGTGACCGACATGCTGGACAGAGTTCAGGTTGACCTAACTGGGGATATGATTGCAATGTGCCTGGAGGTTTTCAATGTGCGGCTGTGGGCTGATAAGCCAAAAGCCAGTGCATTCCAGGTGCGGCTCCAGGCGCTTGCCAAGGTTTTGCACCTCAATCCAGGCGTGTGTGGAGACTTTGCAGCTGTGGCCAGACTCTTGCGCAAAGTTGTTCAAGCCGCTTCTGCCAACAAGCTGCAAACCTCAAACAGGCAGGTTTGGAGCTGGTTCTTGTGCTCTGAATGGAGGCTGCGGTTCATGCCGCCATCCTGCCACATCAAGTTCATGGTTGACATGGAGAAGCTCATTGGCTTCTACCTTGCTTTGAAGGTAAACACCACCACCCTTGAAAGAAACCTTGGCCAGCTGTGCCACCAGCTGCATTCCCATTCTGGCCCATGTGGAGATGATGGGCGCTTGCTGTCAGCTGTGCTGCTTGTGGCTTTGGATGGGCCCAAGGCTCCAGAGCAGCTTTTCCACGTCCAGAAGTCGACTGAGAGTGGCGATGTTCAGGCAAACCCCACTGACTTCAGCGTTGCTTGTGCGAAACTCTGGCTGGCCACCTATGGCCGACGCTTTCGGTACAAGTATGAGAAAGTTGTGGGGTCATGTAGACAGACCAAGCCTGGCAATCGCAAGCGCAAGGCTGCCTGCAAGAGAGGCACATTTGAGTGGGTGAAGAAGCAACGAAAGCTTGCCACAAGCTCTCTTTGCAAAGCAGCTCAAGATTCCGATGGCAAGCCATTGTCTGTCAACTCATATGTTCCAGATATTCAACTTCCACTGCCGAGTGTGGATGGTAAAGCTTTGGCTTCAGCCCAGGCAATGTCCGGGACTCGGTGGCAAAGCTCAGCTACCGGAGGGCATGGCCTGAATAGCTCCAAGAAGGACCCTGCCCAACTATTCAGGGAGCACACAGAGCGAAAGCGAGCTAGACTCTTGAGGTTGGAATGGTCGATTTTTGTTCGCTCGCTTGAATTTCATTATTATGTTTTTGTTTTCACTGCGGTCTTGATCTCAACTTTACTTTTTCCATCCTTTTCATTGCCATGCCGCCCAAAGGACACAAAGCTACAGCTGCGCGACGACGAGCAGGTGAGCAGCCATACATTCCCACTGAGCCTAGGACTGGTGGCCTTGCTCCTCCTGCCGAGAAGCTCCTGCCAACTCATTTGCAGTCAGGGGGTACTGTGCGGCTTTCGCCCATCTACCGGATCCTTTGCAAAGATACTCCGATCTTTTCCTGCCCGAGCGGATGCTCATTTGCTTCCACTTTGGCCCCTGTGGAGGCGGACCTTCTTGTTGTTGAGGAGCTCAGCGATATGGACTTGAAAGTGGAGCAGGACCCGAAGTTTGTTGCTTGGCAAGTAGAAAGTTAGGGAAGAAGGTCAAAGTGAAACATATGAGCTTGCTCACGGAGGGGCAAGTTGGGCTGAACTTGATTCATGCATTACTGAAACCTGAAAGTATTTTTGTATCAAACAGCATGTCAGCTTCCATTCACCTGCCGCCGCACTTGCGCGCATGGCTTGATGGCTGGGGGCAAGAGCTTCGGACTGACCTGGAACAAGCCTTCCATGCAGTGGCCTCGCCCATAGCGTGGCCGGACTTCATCTTTGATGCGAAGCCATTGCAAGGCTCTCGGCCTTGCTGCTCAAGCCGTCCAAGCCGTCCAAGCCGTCCAAGCCATCCCAGTGCCGCATGTGGTCTTAGAGTTGGCACTGACTGCAGTGGGGTGGAAAGTCCCATCCATGCTCTGAAGTCTTTGGGGGTTTGCCACCGGCATTTATTCAGCAGTGAATGCGCATCTGCGCCCAGAAAAGTCATTGAGGCAAACACTTTGCCAACTCACAGGTTTTTGGAAGATGTTCATTGCCCCAGCAATGTGCTCCCACATGTGGATCTTTATGTCAGCGGCTTCTCCTGCAAACCGTTCAGCATGCTCCATTGGGGCACAGCGTTGCTTGACGAAGAGGAGGCCAAAGTTTTCTACTCTGTTTTGCAGCGGATTCAGGCACTGCGACCTGCTGCGTTCGTGCTGGAGAATGTACAAGGGATCTCCCGATGCATGTCCGCTGTGTTGTCTTTGCTGGAGGGTGCAGGATACAAGGTCGTGGTTGAGAACTTCAACCCCATTGACTTGGGTGAGCCGCTGAACCGGCCCCGTTTCTATTTCTTGGGGATCCGAGCTGACCTTGCTAGGGCCACACAGGCAGAAGCCCAAAGCTTTTGCAAACAAGTGTGGTCCAAGCTGTCCCAGCAGAGGCTGCAACGAAACAAAGCTCTTCATGGCACGCCTGTTGTTCCATTGTGGGAGAGGCTCCTGTCGGATGACAGTGAGCTGGTGATCGCTCATCGAGAACGTTGCTTGCAAAGATGGAATGAAGCCAAGCAGGCTGGATTTCCGGAAAGCCGGGGCAAGTGCAAGTGGAAGCAGACTCACCGTGAATGGGAAGAAGGTCGCGAGCTCAAGCTTGCTGAGGGGAATCTTCAGTTGGCAGAGCTTACCCCCGACAAATTGCATTTGCACCTGCCCCGCGAAAGAGATGCATGGTGGAAATTGATCCACACTTTTGGTGAGCCTGTGCAAGTTATAGCTGACATCTCCCAAAGCTTAGGCAGAATGCCATGCCGCACCGATGGTGTGCTGCCAACAATCACCCCTGGCTCACACATAGTCGTTGGTGCGTTTGGGCGAACTTTGATTTCGCATGAGAAGCTCCTCTTGCATGGCTTGCCTCTGCACCGAATGGTCCTCCCCAAGGAGATCTCTGACTCCGAGTTGGAGTCCATGGGTGGCAACATGATGCACCTCCAGACTGTGGCTGTGGCCATGGTGGTTGCTTTGAGCCTGGTGGATTGGTCGCAGCCGCATGCACATTCCTTTGTGCCTGCTCCAGTCTTCCCAGCCGTCCCAGCCGTCCCAGCCATCCCAGCCATCCCAGCCGTCCCAGCTTCAGCTGCCACAAAGCCTAGAGGCAGGAAAGCCAAACACAAGAAGCCGAGTGCTGCAGGCACCAAGCTTGAATGCCAGCTCAAGGCTCGCTTTGGCATAGGGGCGAGAACGGCGCCAAGTGCAAAAGTGAGAAGAGCAACGAAACGCGTGGCAAAGACCAAGCGGTGTCCAAAGGCTGTGGAATGCTTGCGTGGAACACGCTGGGCATCCAAGCGCCTTTAGATGTGGGCTGCGCAATGCTTCCAATTCGTAATTTGTTTTTTTGCTTGGTGGCTAGACAGTTACCTCGCATCGTAAATCTTTTAATTTAGGAAAGCTCCATGTTTCAAATCAAACAAGATAAGCAGGAGCAATGCTGCAAATTAACAAAGGGGGGTTGGACATGATTGCGTTGCATTCTTGCCACATTGGTAAGCCATGGGGCAAGACAACCTAACTAACAAAGATGCAATTATTCATGCACTCTGAGGCTGCTGCCCTCCTGGTGTGCTTTGCAAGAGGCTTGTGCGTGGCCAGACGGGGCGACATCTCAACTGCATCCCGTGGCTTGTGGAATCTTGAGAAGATTGTGTGGTTTCGCCCAGCAGTTCGTGTGAAGAGCTTGCGTATCCATTTGCTTGGCAGCGTTGCAAGGCTTCTTGGTTGGGCTTGGACGACTGCGCTGAGTCTGTTGATTGACAGGTTTTTTTCAAGCTTTTTGCACCAGAAAGCTCAATGTTCTTAGACGTGTTTCTTTGGTAAGTTTGGGGCTGGCGAGCGGGCAAACTCAGGTGTCCTGCGCTGACGTCAGCTTTTAAGTCTTGCATCCGCAGCAGCGAAAAGCGTTGGTCATTGACAATTGGTGAAGGGAATAGTGATGCTTCAGCATCTGTTGGTTGGAAGCTGAAGAGATTCCAAGTGAAGCGAATCGGGTCCATGGCAGACATGTCTTCATTTTTGAAATTCATTAGGTTGTTCCGCCAAACTCGAGGTGTTTGTGGCAAGTTTGGCCGATCGAGCAAAAGCTGATACAGTGTTGGAATTTGAATCTCAGCAGCTCCAGCGTCCCAGCGAAGAAAAGGAGGAGCTGAGTGAAATTTGGGAATCATCGTTTTGCAACTGCCCCAGAGCCCTTTGCAATACACTCAAGAATCTTGCAATGTTGGGGTGTATTGCCAAGTGCTTTGCACTTTGACTTTCGCTTTTCCTAGAGAAGTGTATTCAGAAGAGTTTTCCTCATACTCAATAGGGTACCTGGGTCGTAAGATTTCAGGGCGTATTGCCAGGTGCTTTGCACTTGCCATTACACCCGGTCGCAAGACCTAGGTTTTGGTTCTTACTCTGTATGCAACCAAAGGTTGGTTTGCTGCATCCAAGGGTTGAATCTTAAGCCTGTAGGCCCCAAGGGTCGAACCTTGCAATGAAGGGTTGGAACATGCATCCAAGGGTGAAAGGAATGCATCCAAGGGTTTATGGTTCATATGGCTATTCAAGTGTTATGGTTAAAGTGCAATGGCGCTTTTTCATTTTGATTGCTGCTGTATGTGATGTACTATGAATATATATATATATATATATCATATATGTTGATTATATATCATGTATTTTATATAGATGACATAATGCTATCTTACGAAATTTCCTTACATGTCGAAACATATAACAGACGGTTGTTTGGGTTTGAGTGATATATGCGTACTCTTCTTTTATTTTATGTTAGGTTTCCCTTTCTAGTTGGTTGATCCCAAGCAAAACACAAAGTATTATGGAACTATCTGCATATACCGATGCAGGGTTTTTCTGGATTTTATCGCCATACCAAAGCCGAACCCCAAGGAGAGAATTGAATCGCGAACACATCATGCTTGTTTGAAGGAATCGGTTTTTGTTGAGAGACTTTGGGTGGTTCTCTGCACTGTAGGATTGCTAGCTTTTCGTTGTGTTAAAAACATTAATGTTTTTGCGGGGGTCTGGGTGCATGTTGTTAAACTATCACTTTGCCAAGGAACAAGTTCTAAGTGAGAGGTTTCTTGGCTTTGACAACTTGATAACTAGATATCGTTTTCCAAAACCCTAGAGATAAAGCATTCCAAAGAGCATGAGCAACCATAACTCTCAAGGTCACAACCCTCTATCCGTTTCGGGAAAGCTGATTCTGAACGTTTGCGGATACAGTTTCTGAATCCTCAATATCCATATTGTATACGACAATGTTCACTTGGGCTTTGCCTTCTTTTGCACACCTTCTTTTGCACAACATGTTTCGGATATTGGCCTGGGCAAACATCATTGTGGATGTGTGCTTTGGAATGTGCCACAGTGACCACTTTTGTGTTTTGCGTCTTCAAAAGACGTCCCGGATAAACACGTCCCAAATTCACTTGGAGTTGCCTGGCGCCGCTGGCCAGGTGCTTGCTGATGCCTCCAGTGCCAGAGTCTGCCAGCAAAGCAGTCAAGATTTGGTTGCAGAGTGTGGAGAGTGGTTGTGAGCTGAAGCACATGAACCGAGTTGACCGTATTGCTCACCAGGTTACTTATCCTGCACCCGATTTCGTGCGGATTGAAGTTTGTTTGTGAATGGGAGAGCAGTGGATGGGTGTCATGTGCCTGTATGCGCTCAGGCTGCCCGAGCATTCTGGAATGGAAGCGACAAAGACTTACCATTTTTGCTTGATTTTTTGCTACGTGATTTGCCCCAGCAACACACAGCCAGTGTAACTAGACTGCAGCCTTTGTCAGTAAATTTGAGAAAATTGGTTTATCGCATGTCATCTTGGGTTTGTTTTTTCGGCACCCTTCCCCCAAGAAGCCTTGGAATGATCCCAGGCCCTGTTGACTGCCTACTTGCTCTATCGTGCAAAGTGCACAATCCCACCGTTGGCTTCGGACCCTTGATGTTGTTTCGAATGAACAGTTGGTAGCAGTGTATGTCATATAGCTGTCCCAGCCGTGCCAGCCAGAGAGAGATCCTCAATGCCAGGACCCATCCAATGTGGTTCTGCGCATTCTCAACGCACCGAACCCTTTCCTAACTATGGATGGCCAAAAGCTTACCTTCAGACAAGCTTGTCAAGGGTGTTTTTTACACCCAGTGTCCAAGTCTGTTGGAGCCTTGTCAAAGTTTTCAAATGTTTTCGATATGCTCACCAACTTGATGGCAGTGAGCATATCCCAACTTCAAAGACTTCGCGTGAATGGTTTGAGATTTAGAACATAGACTTAGGTGATACAGACTTGAGAGAGAGAGATAGAGAGATAGAGAGAGACAAATAGAGAAAAAGGTAAGTAGATAGAAAGGTAGATAGGTTGGTTCATTGAGAGACTGACAAACAGATAGATAATTAGATAGATAATTAGATAGATAGACAGGTAGATAGATAGACAAAGTTGCAAATATAGATAAATAGCAAGGAGATAGACAAAGACATAGAAACTAGACAGGAAGAAGGGCAGATCATAGATAGCTAGATTGAATAGATATTAGGTAGGTGAAATTATTGAGAGAGAAGCAAAGATACATGGACAGCGTGATGATTGATGATGGTTCAACAGGTTGATAGGTAGAATCTGTGTTTGGACAGGGAGGTATGATAGGAAAATAAGTAGAGATATACATATTGGTGTAGTTTTCTCAACAGATTAGACAAGTGGGGATGACTACAGTGGTCGTCTGATCGTAGACAGACTCTGTTGACTGAACAGGTCCTGCCATGCTCCAGTAAATAGAGTAGGCTGGTTCGCAGGTTTCAGCCAGGCTTCATGGAGCAGAAAGACAAGAAATACTTGGCTTGGGCCAATAGGTTACCCAGGTGTGGAAAATCTCGCCCGGTCATGGACTAGAAAGTACCTGGGCTAGATAGACTAGCGTTATTTTGCTGGTCCAAAGCTAGGTAGAGAAACGGCTGGAAAGTTTGAGAGCGCAACTTATACATTAAGCTGGCTGGGTCGGTTGGTTGCGCAGAATCCATGAAACAGATTGGAAACATGAAACATAATCGCAGACAGCAAGCAACAAGCTTAGTTAACACAAAGGGTCAGTTTGACGGCAATGCAGTCAGACAGCTCCGACCAGTGGTCGCTGGGTCCGGTCATTGCCTTGTTGTTTTGTGTTTTGAAGACATTCGCACCTCCTCCGCTAGCCTAGTATGCCATGCATTGCATGCCATTGGTCAACTGCACGGTATACACAAGTATGGTACACAAAACAAGTTTGAGATGGCTTTAACTCAAGGGTTGCTTGCGTTTGCAGCTTTGACTTGTAGACCAGGCCCATACCGCATAGCCGCACGATCTGATATCCTAAATATGCATCTCTGTAAATCTAACTACTACGCGCTTTTGACTTGCAAACCGGCTTCACGCTACAGCGCTGTGTGATCTGCTTTATAATCTGTTGCGTTTCTTTTGGGAGCTGTGAGTCGGCTGCAATTTGGTTCAACTTGTTGAGAAGGTGGCCTTGGCTTGTTGACTGTTCTCCCCACACAGGGAGTTTTAATTCCAAGCATGGAAAGTTTGGGAACCATAAAGCTTTGCAGCGAATCGCGAAGTTACCTTTTTCTACCTTGGCGCCATAGTAATCGTTTAAAGATTCCTGTGGCAATCTGTCTTGGGTCTTGGGTTCTCTTTTTGGAGTGTCGTGCAGATTGCCCAGTGTTTTCGGTGCCTTGTGCATGGTTCTGCGATTCCCAGTTTGTGTTTGCAAGTGAAACCCCTAACCTAGATTTGAAGCTCCTGCCCTATCCCAACCCTGTCTTTGGTTTGGGTGGCTTCCAAGTATTTTCGCCCTGCATTTTTGTAGTTGTTTAGCTTGGCTTCTAGATGCCTTGCAGGCTTACCTCATCGTGCTTTGAGCATCTTCTTCGCTGCTTTTCGGCCATCTTATTTTCTTTGCGTCCACTTTGCTCGCTCTGATCATCAAGCCTTCTGGTGTTTCGATCTTGTCCTCTGTGTGTGTGCGTGTGTGATATTCCACTATGTTGACCCTTCCGCACAAGCACATGACCCTTCAAGCCCCACAAAGCTGCAAGCCTCGCTGTGAAGGGTTCTCACAATGCGCCTAAGGGTCTAGACAAAGCGTATACTTTCACATGGTAGGATTCGCGAATTTCGCATCTGGTAGTATGATGATGTATGTTACACACATATGGGGTTTTCCAGGGAGGGTTTTCATATTCTGCAGGTACAGATTGTTGTACAGTCACAAGGGCGGTTTGGAATCTTTAAGCCTCATCATATGGTAGCTGTTTTCCAACCAACCTGTGCGAAGGGTGTGGAACTTAACATGTAAATATTATATGTGGATACTGTGTGGACAAGTGCAAAATTCCGTCCGTACATATGTACCGGTTTGGCCGTTTTTCCACTTTGGATTGAGAATATTATTTTTTAAGTTTATCGAAGGAAGTTTAGAAGTGAAACTTCCGACAATATGGACAGTTGAAAAGCAGAGGTGAGAAGAGTCAGAAGAGAAAAGATCAGAAGAAAGAAGAAGATGCAGGTGCGCGAAAACGTAGGAAAGTCGCGAAACACTGCTGTTTTTCCAATGATTTGTGGCTCCGGAGGGTCGAAAAGTAGGCTCGCTAAAGCGGCGGGTGCGGAGCCAGCTGGCCAGATGAGAGATGAAAAAGTGCACGCCGTTGTGGCGCGAAGCACATTTGCAAGTCAAAATGTACAAAAAACACACCAATGTCGGACCACTTTTGGACGTTGCAATGTCGAAAAAGTGCACGCCCTTGTGGCGCAAAGCACATTTGCAACTCAAAATGTACAAAACACACCAGCTCCGGACCACTTTTGGACGTTGCGATGTCGAAAAAGTGCACGCCCTTGTGGCACAAAGCACATTTGCAACTCAAAATGTACAAAACACACCAGCTCCGGACCACTTTTGGACGTTGCGATGTCGAAAAAGTGCATGCCGTTGTGGCGCGAAGCACATTTCGAGGTCAGAATGTTAAAAACACTACGGGTTCGAACCACTTTTGGAGGCTCAGATGTCGAGTTTCGAAAAAGTGCACGCCGTTGTGGCGCGAAGCACATTTCGAAGTCAAAATGTACAAAACACCAGGGGTTCGGACCACTTTTGGAGGCTCAGATGTCGAGTTTCGAAAAAGTGCACGCCGTTGTGGCGCGAAGCACATTTCGAAGTCAAAATGTACAAAACACCAGGGGTTCGGACCGCTTTTGGCGGTTCAGATGTTGCTTCGCTTCACTCGACTACACTACATTACACTTCACTACGCTGCACTACACTACATTACACTACATTACATTACACTACATTTCACAACACTACAGGTTACAACTACAACTACACAACTACAGTCCATTACACTCCACTACACTCCACTACACTAAATTACACTACATTACACTACACTACACTCCACTACATTCCACTACCCTACATTACACTACACTACACTCCACTACACTCCACTACACCACAACTACAACTACACAACTACACTCCACTACACTACAACTACACCACTACACTGCACGACACTCCACTACACTCCAGTACACTACAACTACAGCTACAACTACACAACTACACTCCACTACACTGCATTACACTACACTCCGCTCCACTACACAACAAATACAACTACACCTGCGCAACTACACTCCACTACACTCCACTACACTACACTGCCTTACACTACACTGCACTCCACTACATTACACTACGCTACACTCCACAACGCTACAACTAAAACTACATAACTACACTCCACTACGCTAAATAACACTTTACTACACTACATTACACTACACTAGACTCCACTACACTACACTACATTACACTACACTAGACTCCACTACACTACACTACATTACGCTACACTGCACTACCTTCCACTACACTTCACGACATTACTCTACACTACACTCCACTACACTATACCTACAACTACAATTACACTCCACTACATTACACTACATTACACTACACTACATTACACTGAATGACACTGCACCAAAGATAGACAGGTAGACAGATAGATAGATAGATAGCTAGATAGACAGGTAGACAAGAGTGAGAGAGATCAATCGCCTTTCAGTCCAGCAGTGGCTTCGCTCTGCCATCCCTGATTCACAACAACCAATCTCTCCTATAGGTTTCCTATTTTGAAACTTCCGCCACCGCCTTGTGTGGTACTACTGGTAATTCTACGGATAGAGGTCTACATGTGCATGTGTATGTAACTTGTTCTTACACTTATACGAAGCAGCTAATCATATGCCAGAGTATACATGTAACTGCACATGCATTCAGACAGGAAATTTTACCCAGAAGCTACTTGCTTGTTTAGCTTGTATAGGGTGACGTCCGTTGCCTTGATACTTATGTTGATACTTTTATTTAAAAGAAAAACCTCGCAAGCAGATCTCAGAACCAAAGAGCGCCTGTGTTGTTATTTGCATCCTTTTTGTGTGCGGTGTTTGGCCGCACATGTGATATGCTCACCTTGACCTCCACGGTGAGCGCATTCCGGTGTAAGGAGAGGACAAGCTGACTGCCAATCTATCCCAGCTGCAAAGTAAAGCTGCCTTCCAGCGGCTGGATCCTTGTGAACAGCTGGGGATCTTGATCTTGGCTGTCTACATGCGCTGCCCACCGTTGCAAGCCTGTAAAGCTGTCAGCGTTGAAAGCAGTTTTTGAAACAGAGTGGCAAGAATCAGTATGATCACACGTGTTGCCATCTCAGGTTTGCGAAGTTTTGGCCGCAGCATTCCAAGACAAAGTCCTTTTCCCTGCTTGAAGGCTTGCTGGCCTACTTTCGATCCACTAATGGGCCAGGCCAGAGGAAGGCTTACCTTCCATCCCGCCTGGTCAAGCAGAAGAAGAAGAAGATGCCTGTCAAGCAGAATTCCAAGAAGAAGGGTGGGAAGACGAAGGCATAGCCGTTTCAAGTTGGGCTGGCTTGATGGCTTGCAATGGAAAGACTTGTAGATTCTCTCCTTGTATGTTTGCGCGTGTACCTTTCACACATCAGGCTCCATCCTTTTTCCACTATTCATTCTCTTTCCATTTTACCTTCGTAGTGACGCTTGCGATTTTCTTTAAGAAGCCTTGTGCGCACCTACCGTTCCATATAGCTACATGTGAAGTAAGGACGTATATGCCTGGATTGTATGTAACACCTTCCATTATAAGTGCAGACATACAGTGACATACACATAGAAAAATTGCATATATATTATATATGTAAATATATATATATATACCTGTATCTTCTTCTGTTCCAATATACCTTTCGCCAACGAAGACGGCTTTGCTTGTGTTCCTGATTCTCATTGACTGTCTTATGGAAAGAAATTGCACATACTAGCCGCATTCCAGCAGAGCAGTTGTGACCCCCACACACTGGCAGGCCTGCCGCGTCAGACCGAATAGGGATGTGGCGCGTCTCCGTCTAGAGGATGTGCTGTCATTGGCCAGCCAGTTCCTCGATGGGTCCCTGACTTGTCTCTTCATTTGGCCTAAGGGGGTCAGCCATTCCAGCCGTGCCAGCCAAGCTCAGTGGAAGGTGGATGTGGACTTGCTGCTTTGGCTTGGTTGAGCTAATGTTTGCGTTATTTTTCTAGGCAAGGTTGGTATAGATTGTGATGCAGGGTATCTGTGCCTTGAGCATCTTTGTGCCCCAAGTTCAGAAGGGCCAGTAGAGCATTGGGGTTCGCCAAGCCCGAACAAATGCCAGAACACTTCCAGTTAGAATGCGCGCGGCGAAGACATATGCTCGACAGAATCCTAGAGTGTACCCAAGGCAGAACACACAATCGCATGATGGGTAAACTGCCAATGCGCGTGCCGCGCAGTAATGCGCAGTATGCTGGACAGAGAATGAAAAACTAAATGCCAGTGCCAGACAAGAATGCCAGGAAGGGTGCCAGAACACTGGCCAAGTAGGCTGCTAAAACACAAGCCAGGCAGAATGCCATTGCAAGTTTGAAAGTAAGCTGTATGGCTGCGACATAATGTCGCAGTGCTGGCTAGATAGAGCGCCAAAGTAACTGCAACCTTGCAACTGTAGAACGGGTGTTGTGAACACCTATGCCAGACATGTGGGGATCATGCGACGCAGTTTTTTTTTAATATGGGGATCATGCGAAGCAGTTTCTTTTTAATAGACCTGTTGCGGTTCAGCCTAGGCTTCCGAATATCAAGTGCGGTGGGAACAAGCTGATGCTACCACACTTTGCAGAAAGTTTGCGTGAGCTCGGGCGATTGGGCGGGGGTTTGGATGATGATGGAGAAGTCGACAGCCAGCCTTGGTTGCTCGGCTGTGCCCAAGTATAGTTCTCTCTTGGTATGTAAGCTATTATAGTAGCAGCCTCACAGAGTCAGATTAAGCAGTTGGAGAATCAGGTTTGTTGGGCTTCACAATTCCATCTCGACAGGAATGGTCCATTTAGCAAGACTTTTGGCAAGTGGGCTGGCATGACCCCTGACGAAGTTCGAGAACAGGTGTTTCAAGAGTTGGAGCCGTTTCGTCGCTTCAAGGGCGTTGAAGACCTGTTTGAAAAGGTATCCAACGGCTCTAGCGGCGAGACCCTTGTGCTCATCAATGCGTGCAAGACTATACAAGTTGCCAAAAATTGGATTTTTGAAGCGCGAAGCACCTTGACTATGGGATGTTTGTCTCCTTGTCCACTTAAAGCCATCATAGCTGGCCTGTTTCGTGGCTGAGGCAATTGGTGGCAAACAGATGTTCCAACTGTGAGCCTGCGTGTGCAGCGGGTTCTGGACTGACTGGGTTTTGCTTATCATGGATATGATGTGAAGCTATTCATGTTCTTCCATGTGGCTTGAGTTTCATTGGTTCCATTTGCAGGAATAGCAGCCCCAGCTGTCCCAGCAAAGGCAGTAAAACTACAAACAGTCTGAGCCTCAAAGCTGTCAGTCGTGACAGGGCTGCTTGGTAAAATGCAGTCCAAGCCGCATACTGAAAACACTGCGAGGTTCGATGCCTTCTGCGGCACTTTGGTTGTTCCATTGGTCTGAAGCCCAGCATGACGAGACAAGTCAAAGGTGAAATGCTTCAGCGTCAGTTCAGCCATTGGATGACTGTACTTTTTCCCAGCCACTTGACAGCTCTCATTGATTTTCACCTTCTTTGATGTTTCAAATTGCATTTGTTTTCCGCAGCAGAAGCGCCAGCAGCAGTTGCCCCAGCTGTCCCAGCAATCCCTTCGACGCTTGGCCACCATGGCCTGGACGACTGTTGGCTACCATGCGATGGAGCAGAAGTTTTTTGATGAGCTGATTTCCAAAGACGCAGATGCTTGCATTTTGCCTTCCTTATCCTTTGCAAGCTGGTACCGCACACCTCTGTGCGCCATCTCCCAGACACGAAAAGAGATTGTCCGCAAGCTTGGTGTTACTTTGTCTGAGACATTAGAAGTGCACCCGAAGGCAAAAGCACAGGCACTCAAGCGCAGCCCAGGCAAGAGCCGTGTTGATGCGGCATTGGAGTGCCCCAACTATGTGGTGTGGCGGCTGCGAACCCAAGAGAATGTCGCAGAGTTGGTTTCCAAGGGCATTTTGCAAGGCTGCCAGAACAGGTTCCAGTTGAAGGAGCCGCTGGAGCCTCTCCGTCCTTTCACGCAAGTTGGCAAGTGGTTTGTTGAGTATGCGCGCCTCAACTGCATCAAGAGTTTAATGTTATGTTTTTGGCGTGGGGGGTCATGCAGTGTTAACAACAGACGCAATGCACCATCGCACTTTGCGTTTTCATTTTCAACTGATCTGATAAATGTCAGCAATGTTGCGCCAGGCCTGCGGCCATCCAGCCCACATTGTCTGGCGGGGCCGCTCGTGCCTTTGGCAGCACAAAAATGGAGAACTTTGCCTGCTCATACTTTCTTGCCTTGCCTGTGGCGGCTGAGCATGTCCCCTTGCAAGAGCTGTTGACTGTGACGCGATCAGCGCCAGTGCTGAAGCTGTTGCTTCAGAATGAAACCAATGAGGATATGAAGGTGCTTCTTGAAAATTGCATTGCCGGCAGAGGTGATTACATTGGGTTGCCATTGGTGGCAAGCCCCATCACTGCCATGATCCTGGGCTTCTTTGCTTACAAGCCGTCCTCTGAGCAGTTCCAGCAGTCCCAGCAGTCGGCGCCTCTGCACCTGCTGAAGTTCTGCGCGCAGTCCTTGGTGGATCATCACCTGCCATTCTTTCATCCTCTTTGCCCATTCTGGCTCTACAAGCCTGCTGGCTTGATTCAACTCATCCAGAAGAATGAGATGATGTTGGCCATCGAAGACTTCAGAATGAAAGTCAGCCAGACTGCAGAGTACCAGTCACAAACAGATCTTCTGCATCGAAACCAGAGGGCGAGGCTTCAAAACCGCAAGCGCCATTTGGAAGAGGCGGTGGACACCTTGAAGGCAGAGATTATGGACCATGAGGCTGAGATTGGCAAGATTAATGCTGAGATGAAGCCTGCCGAAGGACCTGCTGAGGAGCCTGAGCCAAGCAAACTGGCTTCTGGCGGCACCACAGGTGCTTGAGAGGGTTGCGCTGATGCAGCTGCCCACTTGTGTTTTTTTATCCGTTTTTGCATCGCAAGGCCATGCTGGCGTGCACATTTTGCAGAAGTAAAACAAACTGAGATTGGCAGCTTCCAAGACTTTGTTTGTGTGACATGTTGGACCCATCAGCTTGTAGTATGAGTTTGTCAGCATAGTTCATCGGGTTTGATTTCATAACCATTCACCGCAGCAGAGACCAGCTGTCCCCGCTTTCTTTGCTGTCTGCCTGGAGTGCGCGGCGGCAATGGCTTGCCCTAGTGATCCCAGCGATCCTTGCGTTGGGGGGCCTGGCAGTTCTTCACGGTTTTTCATTTCATGTTGTCGCCGTAGTTTCGAACCGCGCCATCTGCCACTTCTGTTGACAGAGGCTAGCAGTCGGACCTTGATGGAGAAGTTGATCCCATGGGCCGGGCACTCATGATGCCATGTTTGCGCGTATGTTGTGTGGCAGTTTGTGTGGGCTGAAAAGCGATTGGTTTTCAAGCTGCATGGGTGCCAGCAGGTCCGTGAGAACTTGCCAAAGAAGTTCACTGCAGCGAAGGCAATGCACAAGACGCCCCCACTGGAGATATCTGCGGAGGTGAAGGACAAAGACGCCTCGACTTACAAGGCCACATTTTGAATTGGCATAGTTTCGCTATGTTGTTTTGGTGCCCAAGTGACAGTCATCGTGTTGTCCCAAGTTGATGCATCTTGAGGACTCTGTAATAATCACTGTTCTTCTGTTGTGCAGGCACCTTGGGCAACGGAGCAGTGCGCGGCTTCCATGAAGGTCAATGGCATGTATGAGGTCAGTGGCCTCGCACTGTGGCTGCGAACTGGGGTTTGGTCGATGGGCAAGGATCGAGACGTTGATCCCGGTGATGTCTCCTTTGCAGCACTTGAGAAGTTCGCCAACAGCTACTTCAACAAGTATGTGTCGCTCAAGACCTATGTGAGCAGGGACGGCGGCAAGCGGCAAAAGCCGAGAGACAGACTGCTGTGGCCTGTCATCATGGTATGTGCTTGCGATGCTGTCTCGGATGTGGACAAGAAGTTTTTCGAACACAGTCTCAATGTTTTGTCGTGCCACTTTGTCCTGTGGTCCTGGTACTATGCATTGTCAAAAGCCCTGTGTGCCAGCGCTGCTTGGATGTTGATTCACCAAAGTTTTTTGATTCCTGTCTGATTGTTGGAAGTGATGCGTGTATAGCCGTTCCAGCTGTCCCAGTCATCTCCAGTGTGGCTCTTTCCATGACCATGCTGCCGGTCCTGAGGACAAGGATTGGCTTGCTATGCTGTGGGAGGCCGGCCTGACTGTAACAATCCAAGTGCGGCTTTGCCCAGACTTAGCAGACTTTGTGAAAGCGCGCAACCATGCCTCGGAGGGCCTCAAGTCCATTGGTGACCTGTCCTTGTCGGACACATTTTTGGTTTTCGCCGATGTGGTAAAGAAGCTGGGCATTGAAAAGGAACAGGATGGGATCTCGCATGGACTACGGTTCAACAATGCTGTGTACAACTCATCAATGCACAGGGCGGCCATGGGGGTCATCTTCTTGCTTGAAGGAGATTTATTTTTGAAGTCCATGGGTCGTCTTGAGATGGCCTGGGGGCGCGAGTTGCTGTCAAACGCGTACTCAAAGTTGAACCGCTTGGTGTCGCTGTCCAAGGCCGCTGCCACAACTGAAAGGACTGCGCAGCAAGTTGCTAGCTGGTTGGTGGAGATGCTGCACTTGGCTTTGGTGAAGAACATCATTCAGAGCAAGCAGGCCACGGATGTTTGGCTTTTCGGAGACCGCAAGCATTCTACTACTGGCTACTGGCAAGCTTGCCTCGTCATTCTGGAGGCCTGCTCATACCATGATAGGGCTTGCCGCTGGCTTCAGGTTCATGAAGTTCATGATGGGTTCCAACCCAAGTCTACTAGACAGTGCTTTCAACTAATCGTTACTCCTGTTGCCTGGCAGGTCTTTGATTTCCTGGCGCCACTGACGTCGAAGCTGCCAGAGCAAGAGTGCCAGAAGTGCGTCAAGGCTTTGGAGAGCATCAGAGATCCCACAACCTGCTTGGCAGAGTTCCTTCTCACAGAGTCTGAAGAGAGCGGCATTGTGAGAGAAGATGAAGAAGATGCTGCAGCTGCAGCCCCAGTGGAGGCTGGCAAGTTGAACAAATTGAAGGCAGAGTTCAACAAGGCAACTGGTTCCTTGCTGGAATTGCTTGTTGACTTGATGCGAGGGGAATACATTGAGGACTGCAAGAAGATCGCAGCTGAGAACATGAAGCTTCCTCAAGCCGTTACTGAAGCTGCATCCAGCATGCATACTGATGAGAAGTCTGGCCAGCAGAGCGTGAAGTTGCTCACAAGCCTCTACTTGGTGGTGCAAGCTTTCGACACCGGAAGCAAAAGCGTTTCACTGGCGTCGGCATTGCCATCGCAGAGCCTGATCCAGACTCTCAACCCAACTACCTCGTCTGAGCAGGATGCGGCTGCTCGAGAAATGACTTGGAAGCAGGTCCAAGCCGAGCGAAGGAAGTTCGTGACATTCTCCGTTGTCCCGAAGTATACAAAGGACTCCCTGAATGCAGCCTTTCGCAACAGCGGCAAGGTTTGGGCACACAAGGGGTCTTTGAATGCCAGCCATAGGCTGATCATTGGCAGCGCTGACATGATGACGGAGGAGTCTGATCAGCCTTGGCTATCCCAGTCGCCGCCTGCCCATGAAGCTTGGAAGGCTGTTGCAGAGTTCTGTGTGGCCCTCACTGGCAGCACCGATTTCACATTGCTTTTCGATGGCCGGATGCGGGAGATCAGAAGGATCAATGTTCCTTGACTTGGCTGGATTGAGCGGTGTTTTTTTCTATGTCCTTTTTTGTGCCATTTGGTGCCACTTGAGTTGCTTAAATAAAACCCAGTCATTGCCAGACGGCATCCCGAGCCAGGAAGATGTTGTCCTGGCCCACTCGCACACAGAAGAACTTTGCTTGATCTACAGTGGGGGGTGCGTTCCTCGAGCAGGCCGGGTCAGGCGAGTGCCTTTGGGGGCCAAGAAGGTTGAGACAGCAGTGCTCCGCTTTCCTGCCCAACGCACCAAGATCAAGACGACAAAGAAGGAAAACTTCACATCTTGCGGAGAAGCAACGACGTTCCAGGGCACATTCTCTGGGGTCACATTCCGCCCTGTGAGTGAACTGTCACTGATTGCAGCAGATGAGAAGAAGAAAATCTTCCCAGCTGCCCCAGCCGTCCCAGCACCAGAGCCATGGAAAGAGTGCCACGGCGAAGATGTGCCTTTGTTTTGGCAAGAGGCCAAGCCGATTGAGTTCTACTTGGCTTTGCTGGACGAGTTTAAGGGACAAGCCGTTCTGGACCTGACTGCCGGGTCCGGTGCCCTGATGGAGGCTTGTTTGACCCGTGGGATTCAGTATCACGGAGTATGCCTGAACCGTGAGCACATGTCTTGGTTGCAGGCGGTTGCGGATCGCGCTGCGTGTGGGCTGATCTCCATTGAAGGTTCCACACTCTATGCTGAGGAGCTGGCTAAGAGTGTGAAGCAGCACTTCGCTGATGTTCTTCAAAAGTTGGTTCCAGCTGATGACGAGGCAGAGGAGCTGATGGAGCCGGAGACCGATGATGACGCAGCCTAAGAGCCCTAGCGTCCCAGCTGTCCAAGCTTTTCGAATTTTTGATTTTTTGATTTGGCGCTGTCCATAGTAGTAATAGTAGAAAGCAGTCTTTTTGTGCAGACTGCGCAAGCTATGAGCAGGTTAGCCCAAACACTGACATCCGTTCAAAAAGAAATGTGCTGGGCCATGCTTCAGTGCTTGGCTGCAACCCTTGGCAGCGTCGTTTTTCTAGAATTGTGCCCTGAAGGGTGACACTTGTGCAGCCAAGGGTGTCGACGTAGCAGCTTCTTTGATTTGGCATCTGTTTGATGTGTAGCTTTCCCTTAACATGATTAGTAGTTGACCTGAATTGATGTCATGTGCTAGTATGGCCCAAAAGTGCCCCACAGACCAAGACCGTGCTACTGACTACCTGCTTGGAGCCCCATGGTGAGCAAGTCTCCTCATGTCAGGCTTCATGGCAAGCAGCCGTGGCCAGCCATTTCCAAGCCCAAGATGCCCAAGCCTGTTGTGAGGAAGCCAACTATGCGAAAAGCTGCCGTTGCTGAAGGCATGGCGCCAAAGGCCCGGCGGCCTTTTGCTCTCTTTGTCTTGGAAAATAGTGCAGTGCCAAAAGGCTCAGCCAAAGCAGACTTTCTTAAAGAGATGAAGAGGCTTGGTCGGAAATGGGGGGCGTTGCCTCAGGCAGACAAAGACAAATACAAACTCAGATGCAAACAAGAGTTCACAGAACAAAGGGATGCTTTGAAGATTCATGGCTTGCAGATCCGGCGTCCTCTTGATTTGGAGCGTGCCCGGCCGTCCCAGCCATCCCAGCCGTCCGAGTCATGCACCATGGACAGCGACTGTGCTGTCAAGGAAGGTGATGTTGCCTGGAAATTTGGCAATGTCACGGTGCAGGGCAGACAGGCGCCATTGGGCGAAGGTTCTTATGGCAATGTGGTACGAGGTATGACGCCGAATGGCCGTCCCTGTGCGGTCAAGATTTTCAAGTGCAGCAGGACACTGCAGTCTCTGAAGCAAGAGGTTTTAGTTCTCAATTTGATCAAAGATAAGATTGCAGAGCAAGACCGGCATCTATTCCCAGCTTTGCTGGCAACCGATTCGAAGAGGAACCCTTTCCCCTTCATGGTTTTGGAATATGGTGGCACATCGTTGCTGCAAGTGATTCAAGTAGATGGACCGCTGAGCAGCCACAGCGTGTCTGTGCTGTCCTTGCAGCTGCAAGCAGCCTTGCAAGCGCTGCATGCAATCAGCGTCCTCCACCTAGATGTGAAGCCTGGAAATATCTTGTGGATCAAGGAGACATTGCAGATGAAGCTCACTGACTTTGGGATGATGGCTGAGCTTTTTGGAGTTGCAGCTTGTGAGCTTCGATTTTCTGAGTATGTCAGTGCACCGTACAGGCCTCCTGAGCTATGGAATGCTTGCACTGTTGAGCTTTCCAAGCACCTTCGCCCCAGTGTGGACATTTGGGCATGTGGGTGTGTGCTTTTCGAAAGCTTTGTAGGCTACCCCTTGATGAAACCCATTCCTCCAGCTCAGAGCTGCAGGGACACTATGCAGTTGTGGTGCCAGTCTTGGGGCCAGCTGCAAGCAGCCAAAGGGCCCAAATTGGGAGGGAGAGCTCAAAGGGTGCAAGCTCGCTTGTTGAGAGCCGGGCTTTTGAGGCGCGCTTTGTTTCGCCATTTGAACCCTGATCCTGCTTCGCGAAAGTGGAGCGGGCCAATTTCTTAAAGCCTTTTGTAAAAACTTTTTGCAGGGTTGCCTCCATCCTTATTGCAATTTGGGGAAGAGATGAAGGCATGGGGATGGCCATTTGAAATGTGGTCAATGATACGTGGCATTCAGCTGTATCAGCCGTTCCAGCGCTCCAAGACAATGAGTGGCAGAGAAAACGAGTCACGAAGTGCACTGTTTGGTGTGGTGTGCAAAAATGCTTTGGAAATCTTTCACCGAATCCAAGTATAAACGCCGCTTATGTTTATGTGTGTGTGGAGAGATGTAGGGATACAGATAATAGATGAATATATCATTTCAATGTAAATGCTTGTATTCAATTCCGTGCTCTTCTTTCTTTTCCATATATAATTATATACTCATACCTTGTACTTATTTCTGTAATATATTTGTATTTATTTATATATTCATATTTATTCATATGTGTATTTCATATTCATATTATGTATATATTTTTATTTTATTTGTATATATTTTTTCATATATATATAGCATATACATAAATAATTCTAATCATAAATTCATATACTTTTTTTACATATTTGAACATGTAGATATATTTATATATATATATAGATATGTATGCATACTCTTTTGAATATATTTGTATATACATAAATATTCACATAGAATATATATATATAATATGTGTGTATATATATATACTCCATTCTTTCAATGTCTATACTTATTCCTCTTTAGATACACGCATATTGATGCTTTGGCTTTTTGTCTGGCCAAGGCAGAACTTCGGGCTTCTGTTTGGGCAAGGCTCCAGTGGCAGCAGCTTTGGTAAGAAACTCAGTGCCTGAACCATTTGAATTCAGGTCGTGTGAAGAGACACGCTGAATATGATTTTTTGTATGTATGTATATATGTATATATATATATATGTATATATATATATGTATATATATATATATATGTATATATATGTATATATGTATATATATATATATGTATAAAGGTTGTTGAAGCTTACAGGATTGAGAGTATACGAAGAACATTTCCTGAAAAGAAACGCGTACATCACACACATAATATATATATATATATATATTATATATATATATACAGACATACATGCATCACATAAAACTTATCTATGTTGAAGCATCACACATGGATGCGCTCACTTTCCCTGGGAAGTGAGCGCATGCTTGCTGGCCAGGTCCAACCGTGAGATCTTCGCCGAAGCAAGTGGAACCAGAGAAAAAAAAGTGATCGGCGACTCATATACTGAAATATTTGTAATTCTCTTAATATTTTTCGGCACCGTTGAATTGCCAACATAGATTGGTAATGTTTTGCACATTAGTCAACTGCTCTGTTGTGATGTGGCTAGTGTGGCTGCCAAAGTTTTGCTCCTGATGTTTGGTGAATTTAGGCTGCTCATGGTGACTCATCAATCGCCAATCACGTAGCATGCAAACTTATATTACTTACAGTATATATATATATGTGTGTATATATATATATAGAACTACGATGAGAATGGTATATCAGTAATTTGTAATCCATTCGTAGGTCATGTCCTTCCGAGATCTTGGATTTAATATCAATGTTCTTCTGGAGAAATCTGGAGAACGCTATTACAGAATGTTTCGCCAGTAGTCCAGCATGTTTGATGGTGTTTTATCCCATATGCTCCATGGTGCTGGTATATTTACCTACATGGCTGGGTCATTTATGGGGTAAATGTTGGTAAATATTCCATACATGGAGCATATGGGTATGGACATCAGTGCCCCCACAAAGATAGATAGATCGAATAGAAAAAGGATCAAATAGGGCTGTGGTACAGAAGGCATCTGCGATTGCCTAGCCTAATACGCACGATCACCTTTCAGTGAAACTTTTCAGTGAGCATTATAATGAAAGAAGGGCAAGTCTGCTAGGAGACATCATACGGGTATGAGATTCAGATCCCCTTCGTCAAATATCTTTCGAGCCCCGAACACAGCGAACAGGGTACAGTAGGGAGGGCAAGCAGAGATGCGGCCGGCCTCGCTAAAACAGGCTGCATTTTACCGAAGAATATGTGTATACTAAAACAAACTTCATCTCCATAATTATGAAGAAGGCTCTGCTGATGACAGTTGTATATTGAATTCAGCCATCCACAGGCAATTTCAAATCTTTCAAATAACGCGCAAATCTTTGGCTACGCCAAAGCCGTGATGAGTCTGACAATGATGTCAGAGCACGGGGCGGCTGGAAAAAAATCTAATGTAGGGGTGACCAGGAGTTTATTGATTCCAAGTGGACATCAACAACCATGAAACGAAAGAGGCAAATTTTACCATGGTTATATGGCAGTGTGTCAAAACCTTGTACCCCTGGTGAACATCAAAATAGCTGGTAAATGGATGTTCATCCCCCTAAAAATGGTATTAATAGGTATTGATCCATACCCATACAGGTATATGGTGATGAATATAAAATAGCATGCCATGATGTTTGGCGTTGAAGCCTGGTTCCTGGCTGCGATTCATCCGCAGGTGTCCCAATTTCGCTCGCTACGACGCTTTCTGGCGGAGAATCAGATCGAGCAGGAACTCTCGCTTTTTGGTCTTCGTTTCAGGTGTTTCTTTTTTGGCTTGAGTGGGCAACATAAATGCTGATTTCATGGGAATTCACTAAGATAAATGCTGATTTCGTGGAATTCACCAACAAAGAAATGTGATGTAATGGAATTGAGCCATCAAAATTCAAAATAATATAACCCATATGCTCCATGTATGGTATATTTACCAACATTTACCCCATAAATGACCCAGCCATGTAGATAAATATACCAGCACCATGGAGCATATGGGTAAGCCAACAACATCAACCACTCCATTTGGGGATGGTCGGTGAGCGCCTTGCCCCAAGGCATCGGGTCATGCGCTTCTTACAGCACAGCTTGAACGTCAAAAAGAGTGTGCCTTGGCGTTTGCTGGGTGTAGTGTAGAGTCGTGTTTTTCCCATTGGTTGGTTGACTAAAAGAGGGGTTTGTTTGGAAACCCCTTTAACAGGTAAATGATGATAGATACCAAACCGGCCCCTCTATTTTTACCAAAAGGACATTGTTGGTGGGTGTAGGTGAGGTGGTAACGAAGTGGTAACCCAGGAATGCATTCCGATTTGGTGGGTGTAGAACTTCTTTGAACCAGACTAACATATTTTTTAAAGACTCTTTCACGGTTTTTCCCTCTCAAGGATCCGTTCCTTTTTGGGGGACTGGATGGACTCTGAAGTGAGTTTTTCTTTCTTCGGGCTCCAGTAGACTTCAGATGATGTTTTTTTTTGTACTTTTTTGTAGGATTACCCGACTGCTGCATCCACTCTTAGATGGTTTAGGACATTAAAGCACATTTCAATCAATCACTGGATATGTGGTCCCAAACTGGTACCGCAGGGTTTGCACCCGTGCAAGTTGGAATTTGTTACAGGGGAACCGCAACTGGCCGCCAAGTTGCAAGTCCTTCATAAGGTGAATTTGAGTATAGTTTGTTTTTTTTTCTTCTGTTGTTTCATTCATGAGTGGCATGATTACAGAATTACTTCAAAATCTCATCAGCAAAACCCAGCAAGCGAGATATCCGTTGATTGGTCGTGTGGGTAAATATGGTTGATCAGCCCTTTCCTCCGTAAATTCACTTCAGAATTCACTTGTGTATTGTGTTTTATTTGTTTTTACCATTATCAATGGGAATTATATATGGTAGGTACCTCCAATTTAGGATCTTGAAATTCCCATTGACATTATGATCCATGATGTTTTTCCACGTGTTTTAAGATGTTTGTTCCACGAGCAAATCGATCTGAACCAATGATTCACTTGGATCTTCGGGGTCGACAAAAACCCGATCTCAGATCTCCACCACAGGTGCAGTCCGACGACCCACAGGTGCTTGAAATGCTCTCGAAGCCTTTGCAAGGCCAAACAAAACCGTGGCACTGGGGAGGTTTCGGAGCAGCCAAAATCAGGAATCTTTGGTGAAAATTTTGAGAATTCACCAATCATAAATCCACTGGATGTAATTCGGGGATATTCGGGGCAGCTATTCCCTAACAGCCGTATTTAATTTAAGTAATGTAATTAGACAACAATACGTTATATATATATATATTAGACAACAATACGTTATATATATATATATACATAAACTAATATATATGTATATCATATTATATATATATATATATCTCATTATATATATATACATAATATACACACAACAATTCAGGATATTCATCAATCACATGATTATGAATGCCAGGGGCAGCCGGGAATTGCCCATTCGGGATTTTTCATCAGACTTTACCTCATTTTCAGAGAAATCCATGAGGAAAATCAGATGGGCTCGAGCGCATAATGGAGGTTCAACGAGCCAATCTGCGAATTTCACATACCCTCTGGTAAACATACAAAAAGCTATTGAAAATGGTCATTTATAGTAGATTTACCCATAAAAAATAGTGCTTTTCCATAGCTATGTTTGTTTACCAGAGGGTAATTCAACCAAAATTAACCAGCAAACTTAATATATGGATTTAACCAATTAATACAGGATATGGGCGGATATGTGTGTGTCAGAAAATGGGTCGATGCCCTCAGATGGTCATTCTTCTGGGGATCATGATTTTATCAAGCACGTGATTATTTTGCAGGGTGTTCGCTATTTTCAGACATGTTCTGACAAACCTACATGGGAGTTTCCATAAATGGGGGTACCCCAATAGCTGGATGGTTTATTTCATGGAAAATCTGTCTATAAATGGATGAGAACTGGGGGTATCCCTATGACTTAGGAAACCTCCATATAATGGGGGATGTGCCACTTGGACTGACTAGACTGGAGGGTATACCTCCTTGACACTGCCATGTTGCGGAGTACGGTCTGCCAGGGTCGGGCTTTTGGTTCCAAAGGCCAGGTTAAGACCTTCAGAGCACAACAAGGCAAACTTAAGCTACTGGTTGGTGGTTTGGAACATGAATTTTATTTTTCCATATATTGGGAATAATAATCCCAACTGACTTTCATATTTTTCAGAGGGGTAGGTATACCACCAGCCAGGTTATCATGGTTACTATGCCCTGGATGGTGGCTTCAGTTTTCTTTTAAATGATCCCAAGCCCATCCTTGTTCAAATGCTTTGTTTTTGTGCGTCTTTCGGACCTTTGGGAACGCCTTTTTGCCTCGCAGGAGAACTTCAACTGGAACGACATAAGGCAACCTTTGAACAGATGCTCAGTTGCCATTCATTGATGATTTTGATGTCAGATCGCGGCTGATTTGTTTTTTCACGAGCGGATGGGGTATGTCTGAAAATAGTTATGGCCACAATCTGCCACATGTTGATGGAACATCAAGAGATTTGGGTTGCCTAATTTCCGGGCAAAACCGCAATAATCTAATGTATAATGAAAACATGTAACAACCAATAATATGGCATCATATGGCTATGGCTATGGGTCCAAGCCTGATCAGTACCTTGCCCTCAACATAGACCCTGCCATAAGTTGAGGGTTGGAAGATGAATTTCAAAAAATGATGATTAACTGGGTCTACGTTTGGGAAGGGTATGTTATGCATAAGGAACTTAAAAAACATAGTTTGATAAGCACGTAACCATACAGTTCTGGAGTAGTCACATACCAGTACCAAGACATGACTGAACCGTGCATCGCCTGGAAAAATGATTAAGAGGTAGTTCATTTTCCCTATTGGAAATCTACTGGGGAATCGAAATAGGGAAGATTCTATGTTTTTTTTTGGGGGGTCCGTAAGCAAATCCAAGAGTACAGTCGTAACTTATACTTGACATATTACTGGCATTGGCCTGTGTAGCTAGCCCGGATCTTTCTGGTCTTTCTGGCGTGAAAAACGGTCAAACAATGCTCACACATCGATCTTTCAGTGACGGTTTCTTCCGATTCGATCTGAGTGAGTTGAGCGCTGCCATAGCAGCTATCCCTTGCCCACTGGTTGATGGAGGCCTTCTAATTGAACAAACCAAAAGCATGTTTTTTTGTGGGTAAAACAATGTCATAAACCATCCATGACTGGGAATGGTTTATATATATATATATACCGCCTATATATTTATGGTGTTTTGCGGGATGGTGTGTTATTGTTTTAGAACCATTATTCTGCTGACCTATCGATCCAGTCAGGGTACATAGCCTCTGGTAATTTGTTACATAGCTATTCTAATAGCTATGGAAAATCACAACTTCTTGGATTATTTATAGCCTATAAATAATCCAAGAAGTTGTGTTTTTTTGTTTTGGGGGGTTCAGCAAGTCCAAGACTTCAAAAGGTAAATCACATCGAACTTTTCTGGGCCATGGCTTCCGTAGAGGTTCCAAGGTAAAGCCCCTTGGTCATTTCTTGTTTTTCCACAGGAACATGAGTATATATATATATATATATATGTCTATATTTTCACCATGCTTCACCACCGTTTATATATACATATAGATAAGATCATGTCTACATACATCATATCAACATAATATATATATATATATAATTATTATATAGTATATATATATATATACAAATTCCATGCAAAGTGCCAAACTGCCAGGAACGGTTTCTTCCGTCGGATGCTGAAGCAGGGCGGCTTCCACCCCATCCGCGAGCTGCGGATGGTGGCGATGAATTGCATGCAGCCGCAGGTCATGGCATCGGGCGACGTGGTCTTTGCCGCAGGCAACGGACGTGTCGCGTAGCATACGTCATACACATCGTTGTATATTATATATACTGGTTGGTGGTTTGGAACATGATTTTTATTTTCCCATAAATTGGGAATAAAAATCTCAACTGACTAATATTTTTCAGAGGGGTTGAGACCACCAACCAGTATAGATAGATAGATAGATAGATCGATAGATAGATAGATAGATAGATTAGATAGATTAGATAGATTAGATAGATTAGATAGATTAGATAGATTAGATAGATTAGATAGATTAGATAGATTAGATAGATTAGATAGATTAGATAGATTAGATAGATTAGATAGATTAGATAGATTAGATAGATTAGATAGATTAGATAGATTAGATAGATTAGATAGATTAGATAGATTAGATAGATTAGATAGATTAGATAGATTAGATAGATTAGATAGATTAGATAGATTAGATAGATTAGATAGAGATAGATTAGATAGATTAGATAGATTAGATAGATTAGATAGATTAGATAGATTAGATAGATTAGATAGATTAGATAGATTAGATAGATTAGATAGATTAGATTAGATAGATTAGATAGATTAGATAGATTAGATAGATATTATTATAAATCTATTACATACTATCACATTACTATACTATATTTATAGATACTATACAATTGATATTGCTTGATATATTTGATATCGTATACACACCATGTATACACATCATATTTCTATAGTATATATGATACTTGTGGTGACCTGATATTGCTTGCAGAACCTGCAGCCAGGGACTGATGTCCTTAATGGGACCTAAGGAACCCCCCCAAAATCAATGAAAGGTTACTGGTTTCTGGATTTGTAACCAAGTCATATAATTCATATTGTAACCGGGTCGAACTTGAGTTTTTGAAACCTGATGACCTGATGGTTGAAGATTCAGATATTTCAGAGAGCTAAAGCAATGCGATGTAGCAACTCGGTGAAATTCTGCATACTCTTATATACCCTCTGGTTATTTAACATAGCCATGGGAAATGGCACATTTATAGATGGTTTACCTATTAAAAATGGTGATTTTTTCCATGGCTATGTTAAATAACCAGAGGGTATATACATAGGAATACCTGAAGATAAGAAAAAACACAGGAAAATGCTCCATCCCAGAGATCATGCCGCCTTCCCAAATTACTCATGGAGAAAAGTTGAGAGGTCACCTTGTCACTCGCCTCCGAGAAGCAGGTACCGAAGAACGATAGTTAGAATGGCAGACAAAACCGGCCCCCCTGTGCTGAAAGGGACCCTGATTGTTAGTATCTCGCCAAAAGGCCAAAATATTTTTGTTCTATGAAGTCCCCTCCAAAATGCACTTTTTCAAAAAATCAGTTGATTCATATTTCCAAGTGGGTGGTCCGTGTCAGTGCTGGCCATCGGTTGTTGGTTACATGGGTGTGTGTATATATATATATACATCTTATGGGTAGTTGAACTGGGAATTATATAGGGAATGAATATTTTCGCTGGTGCGTTGGCACCTTTCAGCCGCAAATGGGATGACACACTGCTTCTCCAAGAAGGTTTATGTTTATGCTGTGTTCATGGAGTTGGCCAACCGAACACGTATATATAGCGACCCCAAAAATGGAAACCAGGAATTTGACGTAAATATCGTGTGTATTCGTCTGTACCATTCTGGAAACACGCTTCGTTTTTGTTTGTGCGGGGTTGCTATCTATTCAGTTCATTTTGTCACAAGAACCACACGATGATGATCAGCTCCGCACATGTTCAGTCATGTTTGAACAGATATTTAGGATACAAATCATAGATTTTTCCATAGCAAATCGAGCTATAAATCGACCATGACGCATGACTCAGGAAGCTATCCCCACAGGTTCAGTCAGTTATTTCCCCATGAAATCATGGCTGCGGATGTCGTCGTGCCAGGTTCTATGGCGAATAGCTGTTTCTTCTTGGCCAAAGGCTCCTTCCACTACACCTTTGAGAAATCCTATGAGGTGCGAAATCGCCAATTTTTGAGCCAATTTGATGATCAATTTCTGAGTAGTCGAGTTATGGCGCCATCACTTATTTTGCTTGTTTATATGGGGGCTTGAATGGCTTGAACAAATTGTATAACATGGTATAACTATATATATCTATGGGACTTCAAAGTTTTAAAACCTCTACATATCAGTTGCTAAATATACACTGGTAGGACACAAGTTGCGCTTGTTGAGCTTCCCACAGTGAACATGTTTGGTTTCTTCTTCTTCACACCCTTTCCCCGTAGAATCCTAGCATGGAGCTTTGTCGTACCCCGGTCGGATTTCCACTATCCAAAAGCTTTAAAATCTTATATATTTAAAAGAGGGTGATACTTGACCGTCCCACACCTGCCACACAGAACGGACTTGAACATGTGATCCGCAGTTGTCCGAGATAGATGTTTTGTAAAGCTTTCAAGAAGCGTTCATGTTTTTGTTCCTCCTGAAGTAATCCCTACTATGGTGAAATATATACCACTTACGGGCGTGGAACTGCATCCCCCAGCCGCGGAGAGAGGCTTCACCAACATGGCTATTACCCTCTGGTAAATTAACTTAACAGTTCGACCCTGGCAGTCATCGGGGTTGGAAGATTAGTGAAACCATTAAAACTAGGCTATAAAATCAGGGTCAACAAGTTAATTTACCTTAATTTACCAGAGGGTATATATAATCTATTGGGATATTGGGGATATTAACCACGATGATGTCATGGTGTGTCTGAAAATGGCGCTGGTGTACTCCGATTCATGCCCTTCTTACATGGAAAGTTAATGAAAGTTAGGTCTTAAATCGTCAAATTCTGTGTTTTGCACCCTTAAATTCTCAGGTACGAAACCCAAATGTCCAAGTGCTTCTGACTCAAAGCCAGCTCAACCAACGAATAGTGGACCAAAAAAAACTGTCATTTTCAGTCATTGTCAGCCGCTCAGCCTGCATTGTTTTTTTTGATACCCTTTGGTAATCAAATGTGGCAGGGGAAAATCCTCTATAAATGGATGTTTGTTTTGAATTGGTTTAATAGGAAAATCAACAAAAAGTGGAGGATTTCCAAGTGCTATGTTTGATTACCAGAGGTTAATTCATTTTTAGCCATACCCAAGTATTAAGTTCTGTTCATGTGATCTTGAGAAATGACGAGATGATGGATGATGTCCTATCACGTGATGGAAATTTACCAATTAAATTTATATCTTGTCGTGTCAAATCATAGCTGCCCGTAATTTTCTTTCCGAAAACGTCCCAAAGACTGTGGTTTTCCCTCGTAAACCCAGAACCGGTTTCAAGATGTTGGAGAATCCAAAGGAATTCATCGATAAAAACTCCAGTTTTTTTGTTTCGGGTTTCCATTTCCCATTGCCCTTCAACCAATTTACAAGTCAGGTTGCTGGTTGCTGGTTGCTGTGGAAAATTCTCAAGAAACCTGTGTTTTATATTTGTTTTATTAGTTCCGTCCTTATCACTAGCAGCATTCATTCACCTTGCTGTGTCTGAAAATGGCTTGTATACCTTCCAATATTTGTGGCCATGTTCAGGGGGAGAGGAGAATTAGGTTTTCAACCACTAAGATTTCAGAAGGGATTTCTGGGTAATCTATTTTCAGACACACCCGACGTCTCATATTGTTGCTTTTGTGTATGTATATATATATATATTATAAATTATATCCCTTCAATTCCCTTCATATCTTCTTATATCCCTGTCGTGGTTGGTAAATCATTGTTGCTTGTGTAACAGTGTATACCATTATGCATTCCGTACTATATCCCAAGAATTCCATACCATATCCCATATTAAATCCATGTTGTATCCAATATTATATCCCAGATTGTAGTAGTATCCCAACAGATTTACCTTTGGGTATCCAAACTATTTTGAGGTTACCAGTATGGCTGCATACAAGACCTCGCCTGGATGTTACCTATCCCATATCCCACATGTTCTGAGCTATGTTGTATCCCCATGTGAGCCATTAAAAAATACACTGGTTGATTAGTTAATATAGAACTTTTGCTAAATTACACATGCCTGACATACCTATCCTAGCTATTCTGGAGGATTGTGAACAGTTTTTTTTTTTGCGCAGCGTGTTTTTTCCGCGTCCAGATTCGCGTCCAGATTCCACATAGTGCCAGTCCCGAGTATCGTCCCTGGACAGGAGCTGAGTAACACCTGGATCGCAGAGATGTGTTTGTGGATCCCCTGGAGCTACGCAGGCGACCTCGTGGCGCAGGACGGCGCCGGGAGGGGATGACAGGACGGCAGGAGATTCGTCGTGTCGGGAGCGTCATGGCGGGGAACTGCAGATGGGGGGCTTTTGCGTTTTTGTTGAGATGATCTGGTTGGTGGTTTCAAGATGTTTCAAGCATTTGTTAGTTTCCATAATATATGGGATGTCATCCTTCCCATTGACGAACTCATATTTTTCAAGATTGTTATTGACGGTTATTGCACCACCAACCAGTGATAGTTCCACGCTTTTTCATAGAGTTGAATCATGGTGGTCTCTGAGGGGATTCCTACAAGGTGGTGTTTTTTTCTATGATGCTAAAAGGTTGGTTTACAACTCCATGCAACGATATGCCATGTGGAGGTTTCCCAAGTCATGGAGGTACCCCCTTTTACCATCCGGATTTTCCCATGGAAATCAACCATCCAGCGATAAAGGGGTACCCCCACGACTTGGGAAACTTCCATAAACCAATTCGGCTGAGAAAAAAGGGGTGCCACCTACGTTCGTGGTGTTTTTTTAATGGGGAATCTAGCATTGTATTCTTCAATCCCAACTTGGACAGCTTGGCTAGTTTGGGCTGTCAGATCCAAGGAATCCAAGGACACGGCTTAGGATTGTATTGATATTCTAAAATGCTATCAATGATATCAATATTATATTCCATTTTAGAATGATTGGGAATATTAACCCGTATATTTTCACATTCCAATGATATCAATGATATGTTAAAACATGTTATAACCCCAGATATCAATGTTGGGAAAATCATCGAACTAATTGTGGGGATTTCCAGCACACCATATTCGATGACACTGGAAGGTGTATCTCATGATATCCCACTCACATCCCATTTATATTGACTATATTCATTTTCATCCCAGTTACATCCCATGAAAAAGCCATTGTATCATAGTTGTATCCCACTAAATATGCCCTTTGCAAAGACTGTCGCAAAAGCCCTATAAGAGGTTATATAGTGCATTGTTTTGATTCCGCCAAATAGATAGAACACCCGATAACTTATAACATCTTGCAACCAATATATGAGATTATATGAGTGCATGGCACAGAATAGAGCTTAGATTACTATAATTGAGTTGACCCCTACAACCCTACCCATAGGATCCATGTATGGTATATATGCTAACATTGGGGATATCTTGATGGGATATATATAGCATACATGGATCCTATGGGCTATAACATCCATAACATCTACCCATTGATCCACGATTTCGATGATTTTCCATCCTCCCAGCGCGCCTCCAGGAGACCAGTCGCCTCTTCTCTTTGGACCTCTCGGCTTTCTGCAAGGCCGTGGCGAAGGTCGACACCACGCGGGAGATGGCCGTGGCCTATGCCAAGGAGTGCGTCACTGGGCGAGCCGAAGGATGTTGATGTGAAAAAACGATTTGTTTTGCTATGTTTTTTTGGGGGTTGGTTATGAGTGAGTGATTGTGAGATTGCGGTTCCCAAGTGAACCTTTTTTTTTTTTACTATAGTTGATTTTGACACTTTTTGGTTGAACGATGTTTTGCGGAGTTTTGAGAATTTCCCTGGGTCAACTTCAGGGCGGAAGAGGGTTCTTTATGATTCTACAGTGACGGAAGGCTGATGGAGACGCGCTTGGGGAGTTTTGTATCTGGGGATTGAGAGAATATCTATAAGCATAGATACATTGTACATAAAGGTGACCATATACATATATCATCATGTATATATATATGTATATTATACATATATATATAAGGTATATACATATATCATATATACATATATACATAATATACATAACATACATATATATATATATAATATCTATATAATATATCTGGGTAAATTATGACGACCTCACTGCGACCTCACTGGAATCATGGTTAATAAGGGGAATCATCCCCAAATGGCCTTAGTTCAGGTTTGTGAATTATTATAATTTGCCCATTATAATTTGCCCATATAATATATATATATATATAATATATATATATATATAATATATAATATAATATAATATATATATATAATATATATAATATATATATATATATAATATGTATATTATATATATATTATACACATCACATACCCTCCGGTAATCAAACATAGCAATGGACAATTTCCCATCATCTCGTATTTTGATGGGACAATCATTGTACTGATGAATTATAATGACCTTACATCGTGACGTCACTGGAATGATGGTGAATGTCATCCCCAAATGGCCGCAAGTTCCAGCCATTTTCAGGCTGGAAAATTATCATTATTTGGCCACATTGTACTTTTTTTTTTCTGGCACATTGGGACTATTGTCGCGGCCATGCATTGTCAGTTGAATTCCCCTGTTGCCACTTAGAAGGCATAGTCTGCTCCAACTTCATGACCGTACTCCGTACAAGTCATATCTTTACATCTCTGCACAAATGGTGGAGGCAGATCTTGCATCTGTACGGGCACAGGGCAGGCGTCAAGCATATATATATATATACATTTACTGCATGTATATATCACATACATACAATCGGCAATATGCAATGATCAATTTCACGTATGTATATTATACATACATACATACATACATACATACATACATACATACATACATACATACATACATACATACATACATACATACATACATACCTACATACATACCTACATACATACCTACATACCTACATACCTACATATACACATGCATTCCAAGCTCAAGAAAGGCCTTGTCATCGAGGAGTTAACATGGGAGGAAGGCCCAAGTTAGCAAGGGTTTGAAGCTGTTCAGTTGATCCACCTTTAACCGTCACCCTAAATCTTTTTTTAACCCTAAACCCTTTAACCCTACAATAGAAACTCTCAACATCATACCCACTGCCCACCACAAGGCAGCAGCACCAGCACCAGCCACCACAGGCACGACAAACAACAGGAAGAAAGAAAGGAAAAGGACAAAGCAACAAAGCCATCATCAGGACCTGTTGTCCCACTGGCTGTCGCCTATCTGGCCGTTATTGCTCTGCCTTGGTTTGGCCCCCTTTGGGGGTTCAACCCCCCCTGGGCAAAGGGCAGGGCAAGTAACAGACCACTAGGCTACCAGAACCCTGGTCCTTAAGGGTGTGGCCTGGAGCCTTGTGATGGCTAGCTGGCACACCGAAGTTGAAGTGGTGGGAACTGAAGCCGTAATGTTAGAACTGTAGAACTGAAGCCAGTACTTGTGAAGTTGCTAGGATTGAAGCTGTTCAGTTGGTTCAATTGAAGTTTGATAGTCCACGTCGCAGCGCTTTACAGGCCAAACCCCAGCCCCAAACCGCACCACAACGACCTTTGCACATGGAGCACGGTGCTGGCGGCGATTGCGTTGCAGCAATCCGGGGCCTACTGGTTGTGAAGTCGACAGCTGGAACAGTGCATACCGTGGGATGTGCCTGTGTACTGTATGCTGACGTCTGCGAGGTACACCTGTGCCGGACCTGCGTCAGAACCCCCCAAGTCCGGATCACCTACTATTTGTGACCAGAGAAGACCGCAGCAGGTTAGCACATCGCGACCTGGGCTGCCGGTGGTTGGGCAACGGGGGGTTCGACGCCATCAAGGTCTGCAGGCGATGTTGGACTGGCTTGACTGAAGAGAACCGGCGAAGAGTAGAAGCCATCCAAAGAGATGGGGGCGGCCAGGCTTGAGCCACGGGGCGGGCAAAAAGAGCAGAGCGATCGCAAGGGCCAGGGTCAAACGTTGTCAAACATTGAGTGGTCTGGGGCTGCAAGTGTGTTTTTTCAGTATGGCATAAAACAGCATGACACGATTTTGATGATTTGATGTTTGTGTTCCTGATCCTTCTTTTGATGTTGACCCGGCTGCAATGCGACAACAAGACATTTGGTGATGATTTTGACAACTTGACCTGGCAGCGTTTGAATTTGCGGGTGAAAACATTGTCGGGCGCGAAACTATGTATTTTTATAGGTGGCTCTTAGGGGCGCGAAAATAGGGTCTGTGGTTCCGCTGTTGCGGGCCTCGATCGGGGAAAGCTGTCGAAAAAATGCGTGCCAGAAAGAAACCGTCAAGAAACCAGCAAGAAACTTAAAAGAAACCGTGCAAGAAAACCAAAAGAAACCCGCAAAGAAATTGTAAGAGAAACGCATCAAGACACCGTGAAACAAACGCGCAAGAAACATGGAAAGAAACCTGAAGGAAACCTTGCAAAAACTTTGAACATGCACTAAATGGAACCTGAAGAAAAATGCAATGAACCATCAAGAAGTTCAAAGGAGACCTTGAAGAAACCCTTGGTGAACAGGTCAACGTCGGATTGTGAAACTTGGCGATTGGATTGCGAAATGTGGAGAATGGATTCTGAAACTTGGATTGTGACACTTGGAGGTTGTATTCTGAAACTTGCAGGTCGTATTGTGAAACTTGCATTGTGAAACTGGGAAATCGTATTGTGAAACTCTGCAGGGGGGATTGTGAAACTCTAACACCAGATTGTGAAACTCTGAAAAGGGATTTTGAAACCCAGAAATCAGATCATGAATTTCCCTGCTGGGATTCTGAAAGTCCATGCAGGAGAAGCTCATATCATGTAGAAAACAACAGAAAGTATCAATCCGATCTCCAAGTGCCACAGGTCGAGGTTGACACTTGCATGCCATGTCAAAGTTGAAAAAGCAAACCCTATTGTACACACTCAAGGTCAATTTCAATTTTGGTGGGGGCGGGAATTTTGATATCTTCTTATTTACAATTGTACACACTCAATATCAAATTCAAATGCCATGAGGTGGGAATTTGTATAACTTTTTCATTGCCATTGTACACATTCAAGGTCAATAGGGTCGGGAATTTTGATATCTTCTAGCCATTGTACACACTCAAGGTGAATTTGACGTTCCATGGGGGTGATAATTCTGTTATCTTCATACCGTTTTACACACTCAAAGGTGAATCTGAAGTCCCATGGGGGTGGGAATTTTGATATCTTCCTACCATTGTACATGGGAATTTTGATATCTTCTTACCATTGTACACACTCAAAGGTTATCTGAAGTTTCACGGGGGTGGGATTCTTGATATCTTCTTACCATTGTACACACTCAAGGTCAATTTGAAGTTCCACGGGGGTGGAAATTTTGATATCTTCTTCTTACCATTGTACACACCCAAGGTCAATTTGAAGTTCCATGGGGGTGGGAGTTTTGATATCTTCTGAACATTGCACACACTCCAAGGTCAAGTTGAAGTTCCATGGGTGTGCATTTTTTTCATATCTTCTTCCGACAATTGTACACACTCAAAGGTGAATTTGAAGTTCCATGGGGGTGGGAATTTTGATATCTTACCATTGTACACTCAAAGGTCAATGTGAAGTTCCATGGGGGTGGGAATTTCGACGTCTTCTTAATTACCATTGCACCCACGCAAAGGTCAATTTGAAGGTCCATGAGGGTGGAAAATTTGGTATCTTCTTACCGTTGTACAAACTGAAGGTCAATTTGAAGCTTCATTCGGGTGGGAATTTTGATATCTTCCTATATCTTCCTACCATTGCACACTCAAAGGTCAAGTTGAAGTTCCATGGGGGTGGGAAATTTGATATCTTCTTACTGGTGTACACACTCAATGTCAATTCGAGGTTCCATGGGGGTGGGAATTTTGATATCTTCTTACCATTGTACACACTCAAAGGTTTATCTGAAGTTCCATGGGGGTGGGATTTGGGTATCTTCTTACCCTTGAACACATTCAAGGTCAATTTGAAGTTCATGGGGTTTCCCAAGGGTCGGCATGTGATCATAGGGAGGGCGTGCGGAGTTGCGCAATCCGGAGACCCGCGGAGTTGCACAATACGGGAAGTTGCGTATTTACAATCGGGTTGGTGCAGAATCGCAGTTGGACATACAATGAATTCGAAAGGGGCAAGGAGTTCAGTGAATGTTGAATGTGATGTTGTACGGGCTTAGGTGGAAGTAACCTCTAGAAGCAATTGAAATGGTTCGTCAACGTCTTCAAAGTAGTGTTGCGTTTCGCAGAAGCTGTTGCAATTTCGGAGAAGCTGGCCTAACTTTTGGCATGTTCAACAAACAGATTGAATACAACATCAAAAAGAAGTGACAGCGGATCTAGCTGCAACATGGCAGATGTGGGAATCGGGCAACTCAAGAGAATGAACACATTATATATATATGGTGTTTCTCAATAGAAACCAACAGACAAGTTCTAATGTCTTAGGCAAGACAAAAAAATCTTTTAAATTCCAAAAAGAAGTTAAATTTCCTAAGTTACTTATAACTTATTCTGGGTTGTTTTTTGTTAACTCCAAAAAAAACTTACAAAACTCAACTACCTAGTTTATCTTTGGTAAATACTTACAACTACCGTAAAATAAGATAAAAACTTAGCTTACTTAGCTTAAGTTACACTAGGTTGTAAATACTTTACAACTAGGTTGCATGTTACTTGCAAATGCTTTAGACAAAAACCATCCACCAAGTATAGTATAGCTTGTTTCCATAGTGGGTGGCCCGCGTTGCATGCCGAAAGGGTGCCGGCCGCTGGCCGTGCGGTTGCCGGCCGGCCGGTGCGGGTTGCCGGCCGGTGCCAAAAATTGTATATTATGACATACATACATACATACATACATACATACATACATGACATACATACATGACATACATACATGACATACATACATGACATACATACATGACATACATACATGACATACATATATGACATACATATATGACATACATATATGACATACATGACATACATGACATACATGACATACATACATGACATACATACATACATACATACATACATACATACATACATACATACATACATACATACATACATACATACATACATACATACATACATACATACATACATACATACATACATACATACATACATACAACATACATACATACATACATACATACATACATACATACATACATACATACATACATACATACATACATACATACATACATACATACATACATACATACATACATACTACATACATACATACATACATACATACATACATACATACATACATACATACATACATACATACATACATACATAACATACATAACATACATAACATACATATTATACACATAATAGCGAGTATATCCTTTTTTCCAAACTATTTAGAGGGTCTAAGTGTCTAAGTATATAAATGGCAATGGCATGATGGAATAATGGGCATCCCCCCCAAAAAGTTCGATGATCCCAGCAATAAGCATTCATTGAAAGAGTATGTACTATGTGAGCAGTCTAAAAGTAGGTTCTCCCAGTTCATGGATTTTCTTGATCATCTACCCTCTGGTAAACAAACATAGCTATGGAAAATGGCCATTTATAGTGGGTTTTCCCATTAAACATGGTGATTTTCCAGAGGGTATCCCCATACATGAAGGACAGTATAACCACGTACTAGGTTCCATGTATAACCCCAGCCCAGCCCATTTTTGTGAAGCAAAAATGGGCTGTTGGCAGGTCTTGCCACTGCTGCGAACCGCAGCCTGCCAAGGTCGATGCCCTGAACGGCAAGCAGGGTTCAGTGTCGGACCTTTGGCAGAGCTTGTCAGAAAGCCTCTTGATGCAATTCGGAACTGGGAAAATCGGCGGAATCCTGAGAAATCTATCTGGGTGGTGGTTTGGAACCATAGAATTTTATGACTTTCCATATATTGGGAATGTCATCATCCCAACTGACTTTCACTCCATCATTTTTCAGAGGGGTTGGTGGCTCAACCACCAACCAGCTATGATGGGTTAGCCTTTCATCATACCCATAGGATCCATGGTGCTGCTATATATGCTAACATAAATGGGGTATATTGATGGGATCCATGTTACCATATATAGAAGCACCATGGATCCTATGGGATAGAAGGTGAACCACATGGCTCTGAAATTGGTGGATGCCTCGAAGTCATTTTCAGTCGAAGCCACATCTCTGTTGTTCATACTATAGGAATACAATAGAAATGCGCACACAATACATAGTAGGCATATACACATGTATATATATATATAACACGGGATAGTTTATAAACTATATAAAAAATGATAAAAATGGAATATCATAGGTGTAACATGTGACATATATATATATATTTATAAATACCATCTACTGTATAAGTTAACAATCTGAAACTTGGGGTTTGTTTGAAAATGCGGTTAGCCCCCAACAAGCAATATTGTTGATGGGAAAAAGCAATATGATTTTTGAGTAGATTGATGGGTACCTGATGTTTGGACTCACCCGTGTGTACATATGTAAACGTATATATATATATATACCATCTGGATCCATCTGGTCAATTAACATAGACCCTGGCAGATAGGGGTTGGAAGACTAGTTTCCATTCAACAATAATCAAAAACATGTGATTTTCAGGGTCTATGTTAATTTACCAGGGGGTATATACTGTACATATTTTTTGAGCTGTTTTATTTCACAACACACTCAACACAAAAAAAACATGTTGCTCTCATATTCGAAAATCCGCGGTATCCACGGTTTTTCGCGTTTGATTTTTTTTTCGAACTGAGGTCATGAAGTGAATCCCTCGAAATCCATCAGATCAGGAGTTTTCAGTCGCATCCTTCCCTTGGACATGGACTAAGACGAGGCCAGGGGCCATCGCAGAAGGTGATCGATTTGTCGGGAATTCATGGTAGGACATATATAGTACAATATGTTATGTTTGTGCATTGTAAAACAAAAACACATATATAATATGTATATATATAATATGTTTATTTATACATATTTATTTTTATTTATATATATATTAGCTACAGCCTATAGGCCTCTGTTAGTCTGGCCCCTCAAAACGAAGGCAACAGGCACTGGCAATGAGTCGACGGCAGGACAACCAAATGACGACAGCAATGTATCGGCACGCCAACGGCAAGGCAATTAAAGGGCGACGGCATGGCAACGGCATGGCCACAGCATGGCGACGACATGCGACGACATGGCGACGACATGGCGACGACATGGCGACGACATTGCGACGACATGGCGATGACGTAATGACAACATGGCGGCGGTGCGGCGACGACGACGACGCCAATGGCGGCGAAGCAACGGCGAAGCAACGGCGATAACAACAACAAGGGGCAACCTGCCTGCCCCATCATGCTCAATCACTGTTAGCCCTCCATCTTGGCAGAGTGTGATGCTATCTTTGGGTGTGTGTGCGTGTGTGTTTGTTAACGTGTTTTCTCTGCATGATGACTAGTATATATAATATACTATATATATATATACGTTGTTTGCTTTTGTGGGTCCTGGAGTATTGATTATTTTGTATTGGGCTTTTGGCTTGCATGCTTTGCACTTTACAACTGGGTTTTGTACACTTTGCATATGTTGTTGCATCCCTGACATTCAGACAACGATTCTTTTTACTAAAGCATGTCAGCAGACAATGCCTATACAAGTCAGATACTCTCAAGTCAGACAGGCTTCAGTGCACAGAACAGCCTTTAACGCCAAAGGTTGGCGAAATTGAATGCAAAGAAAGGTGTGCACAAACTTCTGCACGTTCACCGCCAAACTGCCCTTGGGTTTGCTTGAGCTATGCGCCAGCTGAATTTCAAGTAAGTTATACGCTATATAGGTTTTTGTGACACGTTAGATCCCTTCTAAACGCATTTAGTTTGGAACAAGTTCTTACCCATTGACACCTTGTCTTCATCGAATTTGTGAGGACATAGTACCTAGGCTTGCATACTGACAATGAGCAGCTACAGCAACCTGAATCTGTTCTGTCCCGCTCCAATCCTACATGACATTTTTTTTCGATCACCATTTTTTACATAAAATGCATGGACTTGACAACATGTTCCACATGTATATCATTGTATATCAATTCCAGTTTTTGCACGTGTCAATCACAGGTCCTGTATCTCCTTTATCTTCACCTCCCCTTTGCAAACACGCACGTTGTGAAATACCATGGGCCCAGCATGCATGGCACCCTGGCGATTTTTGAAACCTGCGCAGCAATCTAGATGCTATCAATGTCATAATCAGCGATGTTCAAAACCCGCTGTTGGTGATTGATTTTGCTCGCCTTTCGGAGCTCTGATCAACAAACCAGTATATTGCAATCAGATGGATCTTGAACACTGCTGATATGAATCGTCTACGTGAACCGATGTTTGGCACACTGAGTGGTGAACAATGGTTAGATTCTTAACAGGATGTCTGGCACAGTGTTTTCGATACAGCTTCGGTGCATTAGCACCCTGTTAACTCATTTGGGCCAAGAGCCGGGTGTAAGGAATCATCGCCAGCCCGTGAATCACTGGCAAGTACTTGCAATAAAGAGAGATCAGCTTAGTCACCTTCTTCATGTGCCCCAAAACAATTTCGCTTTCTGCACCTTTTGCGAAACAGGTGACGGGTTGGGAGCACCAATCAACAAAGTGATAGGTTTATATACATGTTATTTTGCCTAAGAAAAGTACCACGGCCAAGGTCACCAAACGGGCGCGCTATTGAATATGGTTGGGATTTTGCTTCAAAATGAGTATTGCGCTGTTCTACTCAGATATTCTTCCCCAAGCCCAGCTCTAATTATGAAAATCTACTCCGGTAATAAACGTATTTTTTGTATAGGCACCGCATGCTGACCCATGACAAGGTGATATTTCATAGGTGAAGCTTGGGCAGAGGTGCTACGTCAAGAACTCTCAAGCCAGACATGCTCAAATACACGGTCGAGCCTTTCACACCAAAGGTTGATGAACTTGAATGCCATAACTTGCAAGGACCCCATCGTTTTTGCGTTCTCCTTGTGTTCAATTTGTTTGAATTTTGCACCGGCTAAAAAATCAATGATATCAATGTCAAGCACTACAACTTTGCACGCTAGATGCATGGTCGCATGTTGAACCTGGAAAGGTTTCTAGGAAGTCATGTAAATATACAACATGTAGTCCCAGTTTCATCTTGAAAATTTGGGCATATAGCATCTACATCGTCAACAGCGCAGGTTATGTAATGTAGTACTGCATTCAAAAGGAATCTGGTTCACCCATTGTTTTCTGAAAAAAAGGGCTCACATGCTGATAATGCGTCATACCCTGTGCAAGCACATGTCCAACGTGTTTCTTCATCTAAAACCAGTTCACACACACAGATCTCGCGAAATACAATGGACGTAATGCGCAGGAATTGCCAAAATCAAGCGAGCAAGTGGTTGAAATATTTGATACAACCGGCGATAATTGTGAAGGAAAAAAGCAATCAACTTTGCTTTCTTTGAATAAGTGTAGCGTAGATTCTCCTCCTCTAGATGCAAATTGGAACCGAAAATCCAAACGCACAGCGGGACTGGGGAAGAACCCCGCGGAGCGGCTTCCTACAAAGGGGAGACGTATAGGAAGGGGTTTCAAAAGCCACATAAACAGGAAACATGTTTTTCCGCACCCCTAGCTCCAGACAAGAGGGGTTCATCTCCGGACAGGGCGGGGGATCAAAAAGAGAATAAACCATTTGTTCCCTGCATTGTCCGGCGAATTCATCCCCCCTGCCTGGAGACGGAATATATTGATGCACAGAAACATCAAAGAACCCCGAATTGAGATTCACTACGTTTGTCCAAGTTGTGACTTTAGCAACATGAGAGTTCATGCGCTGTCAAAAACAAACTGCTGTTGTTTCAAGCCCATTGATCGAACACAATTCAAGTTGAATGCTGCCAGCACCGGAAACAAACACCCATTTAACGTCACTTCTCTTTTCCTTTTTTGAGCACATACACAGTGCCGATTTGCATCTTCCCGAGGTCACACGCGCTTGGTTTTTGAAACGAATCAAGGCCCATTCGATGACTGCATTGGAAGGCCATAGCGGTCATTTCAAATCACACCAATCATATCGGGCAGCTGCATGACGACGACCTTGCAACAACACGGCAAGCAGTGCGGTGTCATCATCAAAAAAACATGTTTTTATTTGCCTGTGCGTCGGCACGATTTTGGGTCTTTGGTGGAAGGTGACACTCTGTGAGCAGGGGTTGCGTTTTGCTTGCAAATGCGATGATCCATGGATTTCGTGTCGCCGTGTTACTTTATTGGTTTCTGCGACATGATGATAGGACCAGGAAGAGATTTCAAATTAAAGGATATTTCCATCGTCATGTCATTGTCCCTTCATTGTCAAAATTGTAAAAAATGTCGTCGTCGTGTGGTCGTCACATTGCCCCCACATTGCCACCACATCGCCGCCACATCGCCGCCACATCGCCGCCACATCGCCCCGCGGCGAGGTGGCGGCAATGTGGCGGCAACGTGGCGGCAATGTGGCGGCAATGCGGCGGCGATGTGGCGGCAATGTGGCGGCAATGCGGCGGCGATGTGGCGGCGATGTGGCGGCGATGTGGCGGCAATGTGGCGGCAATGTGGCGGCAATGCGGCGGCGATGTGGCGGCGATGTGGCGGCGAGGTGGCGGCGATGTGGCGGCGATGTGGCGGCGATGTGGCGGCGATGTGTCGGCGATGTAATGGTGATGTGGTGGCAATGTGGCGGCGATGTGATGGCGATGTGGTGGCAATGTGGCGACAATGCGGTGACGCTGTGTTGACAAAGTCGCGACAACTTAGTTAGGAAGACGATGATTGCGTGCCCTCACATAGACAAAGCAGAAGAGTTGCGGTCTTGAAAACTTTACCCCGCAGAAAAATATTTACATTGCAAATTTGGAAAGCCGGTCCTTCTTACCCCGAACCAGAAAGCCCAGCAAATTCACCGTCATGTCCATTCCCAAACTTTGGGGCGCCTGCGTGTTTTCAGATGACACTTGCATATTGTTCAGCGTTGCCTCTTCTAGTCCTGGCGTGGCCCAAACATTAGACAGTGTGACTCTATCTGTTCGCGTGTGTTTTGCAATGTTTCTTGCTGTGATGCTATGACTGTTTGATTGTTTTGGGTATCTTCGATGATTATTTTGTGTTCAGCTTTTGGCTTGCATGCTTTGCACTTTACCACTGGTTTTTGCACACTTTGCATATGGTGTTGCATCATTGAAATGCAGGCGACGTTTCTTTTTACTAAAGCATGCCAACGTACAGTGCCTGCAAGTCAGATACTCTCAAGTCAGACATGCTTGAGTACACGGAGCAGCCTTCAACGCCAAAGGTTGGTGAAATTGAATTCAAAGGTGTACAAAAACTTCTTTGTGCTTACTGTTAAACTGCCTTTGGGTCTGCTGGATCTATGCGCCAGCTGAATGATGATTGTGACACGTTGGATCCCTTCTAAACGCATTTAGTTTGGAACAGATTCTTGCCCATTGACACCTTGTCTTCATCGAATTTGTGAAGACATAGTACGTAGGCTTGCGTATTGACAACGAGCAGCTACAGCAACCTGAATCTGTCTGTCCCGCTCTAATCCTACATGATATTTGTTTTTTTCGATCACCATTTTTTACATAAAATGCATGGACTTGACAACATGTTCCACATGTATATCAATTCCAGTTTTTGCACGTGTCAATCACAGGTCCTGTATCTCCTTTATCTTCACCTCCCCTTTGCAAACACGCACGTTGTGAAATACCATGAGTCCAGCGTGCATCCTAGCCATGTTTGAAACGTGCGCATCAAT